TTCTTGCTAATGATGCTGTTTTAAATGTACATTTTATATTTGACTTCCTTTGGTGAAATGTTTCATTTTGAAGTGTTTGAGATTTTTTAAAATTAACTTTGCTGCAGCAAATGTGCATTCTGCAGTTGGCCTTGGTAATGTTTTGTTTTGAAATCTTTAAGATAATATTTTAGTTTCTTGTACTAAATTGTACTGCTTTGAATGTATACTTTATATCTGACTTTCTTCTTGCAATATTTTATGTTGGATTGTTTTATTTGGTGTTTTCATGTGGGTTGCAAACCAATTTGAGATTTCTTTCTTAAAAATGTAAAGCAGTATAGAACTGAAATGAGTAATAATAATAATAATAATAATGGCGTTTGGCCATAGTTATAATTTTTCAAACTTTACTAATTCAGTCCCTGTAAGAGGGTGTAACCAAGGTCTACAGTGTACTTGACCAATACAGTTTTGGCTGGGAGAAATACTGCAAAACTTTTTGAGAATATGGCTGTGAACACAAGACATTTTGTTCTAGAATCCATGGAGACTGGGCACTTTTCCCCCCTACATGGTTCTCACACATTTTAGATTTATTGTATATTTTTTGCTCCTGAACAGCAGGAAACTGGTTTTATTCCAAAAACAAAAGCTCACTGCAGTGTGTCCATGGATGACCTAATCAAGGGGAAGGTCTAGACTCAATCTAGATGGACACAAACATTTCTGTATTGAGAAAAACTACATTTTGTGCTACAGACATGTTAGTGTGTACACAGCCTACAGTGCAAGATGTGGTTTCTAGATGTGTAAGCCACTGACCCCCAAATTTTGGAGTTCTAGGGTGTTTCCATGTAGGCATTTTTGTGGAATTCATGCTGGTCACATACACAAGTTTCTTGCGCTGATCTCTAAGGTGCTACTGGAAGGATTTTTCTTATTTTGTTTCACATAAAACCCTCACCATCAAAATGCCATAGGTAAAGGTAAAGGGACCCCTGACCATTAGGTCCAGTCGTGACCAACTCTGGGGTTGAAGCACTCATCTTGCTTTATTGGCCGAGGGAGCCGGCGTACAGCTTCCGGGTCATGTGGCCAGCATGACTAAGCCGCTTCTGGTGAACCAGAGCAGCACACAGAAACACCATTTACCTTCCCGCCAGAGTGGTACCTATTTATCTACTTGCACTTTGACGTGCTTTTGAACTGCTAGGTTGACAGGGGCAGGGACCGAGCAATGGGAGCTCACCCCATCGCTGGGGTTCGAACCGCCGACCTTCTGATCGGCAAGCTCTAGGCTCTGTGGTTTAACCCACAGCGCCACACGCGTCCCTCAAAATGCCATACTGTACCTTAAAAAATTTAATCTGGATTTTCCTCTTCCTGCAGGAAGTCCATGAAGTGAAAAATAGACTATTATACATCTTGCAGTTCCCTCTGCTGTGGAAACTTGTTTGCACATTTTTATTTTTTGTCATAAGTATGATGTTTTGGAAGGACAATTCAGTCTGCAATATTTTCTCACCTCTTGCAAGCTCTGTCATCCAAAAATCTTGCACTCGTGGGCATTCATGACAGTGTGAAACTACTTGACCACAATGTTTTCCACATTAGGAGAATATACCACAGGGATTCTGTTTTGTATTCCCACCATCGCAATATACCAACTGGGACATCGATTTAAAATTGTGCTTCTTAGAAATTCTTAAAATTAGTGCCTGAAAGTAAATTCCAAAGGTTTTTCCCCCCAAGCACTCTTTTTCAATCACTTCTTTTGTATTAATTGTATTTTCCTGCTGTGCTTTCATCCCATAGCACTGGTGTGAGACCAAAAGGATAGAAAGACCAATCAGTGGCGTAGCGTGGGGGGTGGAGGGGGGGCCGGCCGCACCGGGTGCAACATCTGGGGGGGGGGCGCGCTCGCACTCGCAGCTCTCTGCCCCTACTAAAATCCACGGGTTAGGGGGCGCAAATTACTTGCCTTGCCCCGGGTGCTGACAACCCACGCTACGCCACTGAGACCAACTAGGTGAGTCTTTCCCATCAGATGGTTGTCTGCAACCCCAGACAGATGACAACTGTGCATGTTAAGGACCCAACCTGTATGGTGCTTGTCCTTTAAATCTTGCATGGGGTAAAATATGGGAGGGCCGCTTTCATGCCGCTGTTGTGACATACCTTAGGCTGCAATCCTAAACAAACTTAGCAGAGAATAAGGCCCGTGGACATTTGAAAAACAGGTAAAGACTAGATTCCCAGTGTAAAGCTGTGGAGAAAAACACAAGCCACCAAGTGGTGAAGGTTGGTAGTGCACTCATTGTAAGCGACCAAAGAAGCATCGCTAAGACAGAGCCAGAATGTTTGCGTATTATTATTATTTTATTAATACCCTGCCCATCTGGCTGGGTTTCCCCAGCCACTCTGGGCAGCTTCCAACAAAATATTAAAAATACGATAAAACATCAAACATTACAAACTTCCCTAAACAGGGCTGCCTTCAGATTTCCTTGACATGTGATGCGAAGGCGCCACAACTGAGACGGCCATCTGTCTGGTTCCCTGTAATGTCACTTCTTGCAATGAGGGAACCACCAGAAGGCCCTCAGCGCTGGACCTCAGTGTCTGGGCTGAATGATGGGGTGGAGACGCTCCTTCAGGTATACTGGACCAAGGCCGTTTAGGGCTTTAAAGGTCAGCACCAACACTTTGAGTTGTGCTCGGAAATGTACTGGGAGCCAATGTAGGTCTTTCAGAACCGGTGTTATGTGGTCTCGACGGCCATTCCCAGTCACCAGTCTAGCTGCCGCATTCTGGATTAGTTGTAGTTTCTGGGTCACCTTCAAAGGTAGCTCCACATACAGCACATTGCAGTAGTCCAAGCTGTAACTGTTATAATATGTTGGCCAACAAATGGGTGCTGCAACAATTGCGCCTCCTCCCCAGATACCCCCAGTAAGTAAGAAAAGAGCCTGTTTCACCTTGAGCACAAGCAATACTGGGAGCTCAGAGGTGCAGTCAGAAATGGAGATTAATATTTTAAGATTAAGACTGAAACTTTCCCCCCCTTGTGGAGTGAAGCACTGAATGGTTGCTGTTAGACTTATTTGCAACTACAGTGGTACCTCAGGTTAAGTACTTAATTCATTCCGGAGGTCCGTTCTTAATCTGAAACTGTTCTTAACCTGAAGCACCACTTTAGCTAATGGGGCCTCCTGCTGCTGCTGCACCACTGGAGCATGATTTCTGTTCTCATCCTGAAGCAAAGTTCTTAACCTGAAGCACTATTTCTGGGTTAGTGGAGTCTGTAACCTGAAGCGTATGTAACCTGAAGTGTATGTAACCCGAGGTACCGCTGTATGTAGTAAGGTACTTGCAGCAGAGGCAGTCCCTACTGACTGAAATTGTCCATGTGCAGCCCCAGAGTTCCTGGCTGAAATCACTACTGGGGTGAAGTATTTCTTTGCCACACGAATCCTCAGGGTCCTACTTGCACTTCTGATTGGCTGGTGCTATGGAGACCAGAAGGAGCTACAAGCAGCCTTCAATTTTGCTGAAGTTCCTTGAGAAATAAAACACCCAAATTCACTCTTGCCGCCTGCTGAAGAGTTCACAACACGACACTCTTACATGTTTGCATTATGTATTTGTGGGATGTGAACAGGGCTGGATTTAGGTTTGATGAGGCCCTAAGCTACTGAAGGTAATGGGGCCCTTTAAATGTCCAGCTGTCCTTTGTCAACAACAAATTGTCACTGTTTTTTGTGCTGAATATATGCTATGTGGCAATTTATGGACCTAATAGGTACCTAAAGCCATTTGCACATAACAAAAGATGTATTTTATCAAAGTACAATGATACCTTTGTTTACAACCATAATCTGTTCTGGAGGTCCAGTTGTAAACCAAAACAGGTTGTAACCAAAGGCGCGCTTTTGCCAATGGGGCCTCCCCCAAAAAATTTGTTTGTAATAAAAAAAAACGGGTTGTAATCCAAAAAAAGGGACACACACTTCAGGGTTTGACGTGGTTGTAACCCAAAATGGTTCTAATCTAAAACGGTTGCAAACCAAGGTACCACTGTAATTGATATAGAAATGAGCAAACCAGTGATATTTTAAGGAGCAGCTAGCAGGCAGGGCCCATTACTTACATCATAGGAGCCTACACAACACAAAACACTGCTGTTGTATGTAAGTTTTATTTGTTTTTTATCTTATATTTTGGAAATGGACATCTAGGTTTTTTCCCTTTAATTTTTTTGGGGGGCCTCCAAGAGAGTGGGGCCCTAAGCTATAGCTTGTTTAGCTTATACGTAAATCTGGCACTGGATGTGCAAGGAACAAAACAACCCCAATCAAACACACACAGCCTAAAGCAAAAAAAGAGAAGAAGCTCCATTTTGAAAATAAATAAGGGGGGGTGTGGTGCCTGAGGGTGGGTGCCATAGTGTCCACAGGCACAACTTTAAGGATCCCATGCTGCACACCAGCCTCAAGACATTTGGGCATCTGAGTCCGCCCCCCCCCCCCCGCCCGCTAAGGAAGGAAGGGGTGAGTGAATTCTCTTTGGCGATCACTTGTAGCCGAGTGAGATTTTCTTCCATAAACACGGTTTGAACAACGAGTCTGTAAGTGACTCTGGAGGCCAATTCTGGATCCACACGTTCTTCCACAGTGGGGACATTGGTTCCCAGGTGGGAGTTGATCACGGTGAGGGTTTGCCAAGTGTGCCTTTCCTCTTAGCACGTTTCTCCCTTTCGTCCTGAGTTCGAGCGTCTTCAAAGCTCATGACACCTTCAGTAAAGGCTGCTCTCCAACTGGAGCGCTCACAGGCCAGTGTTTCCTAGTTTCCCACTCAGGCGTACTGACACTTCAGCCTGAAAGTGAGATGAGTGCTGCAACCCCATAGTCTCCTTTTGACTGGACTTAACCGTCCAGGGGTCCTTTACCTTTACCTTTTTACCTTCCTCCTTCCTTCCTTGGGTAAGAAGGAACCCCAAGCAACAACAGCAATTTCCACACCAGTTCCTCATATATTATTTTATTTCTCATTTTTATTGGAAGTGAAAAAATAATTTAAACTCATTTATTTGTACAGGTGGCACCATTTTGTGACTGACAAGCTGTAGGATGTCCTGGCCCACCTTGCTGCCAGCCAGGGGTAAAAGCAAAGGCAGCCATAGCCACATAGAATCCTGTCTTTTGGACACTAAATGCTCACAGAGATGCCACCATCCCCTTATTACTCCCCCCACCCTGAATGGGAACGGGCACAAGTAGACCAGGACCACACCATCCTAAGTAGAAACCATCATTAGCCTTCAACCTCTCTGTCTCATCCTTCGTTTCCACACCTCCTCAATCCGTTTTCAGGGTCAAGTAATCTGCAGCGGTGTCTCCAACATTTCCATGAGGAAAGTGTCGATGGGGGTGTCACCGATCAGCTTGAAGAAGAAGAGGTGCTCCAGGCATTTCAGGCCGATAGATCGCAAGGCTGGCAGCCTCAGGAGGAGCTTGGCAAACCTGAAGGAACCAGAGATGTAGAAAACCCGAAGTTAATGACAATCGGGGAAAGCCAAGGGGTGTGTTCTGTTGCAAGACAAAAGAAAGAGACCACCTCATTCGCTGGATCTGAAGTAGGGCTTCGTGCAAGGCTCTTCCTGCACCTGGGCCCACATCAACTGAAGTCAAGTGTGTTGCTTGGAACTTTGGATGCCACAAGTTTTGTTACCCACAAAACACACACACACAGAGCCAAAATACATGATTAAAATTGTGGACAGAAACAGCTGTTTCAGCATTTTAGACTTCCCTTTGAACTACATTACTACATTATAAAAAGGTAAAGGGACCCCTGACCGTTAGGTCCAGTCGTGACCGACTCTGGGGTTGCAGCGCTCATCTCGCTTTACTGGTTGAGGGAGCCGGCGTATAGCTTCCGGGTCATGTGGCCAGCATGACTAAGCCGCTTCTGGCGAACCAGAGAAGCACACGGAAACATCGTTTACATTCCCGCTGGAGCGGTACCTATTTATCTACTTGCACTGGCGTGCTTTTGAACTGCTAGGTTGGCAGGAGCAGGGACCGAGCAACGGGAGCTCACCCCGTTGCAGGGATTCGAACCGCCGACCTTCAGATCGGCAAGTCCTAGGCTCTGTGGTTTAACCCACAGCGCCACCCGCGTCCCTTAACTACATAATAATGTCAGCTGATTACAGCAAAGCTAGAAAGTATCAGCCAAAAAGTTAGATCCGTTAAATTATAGCCCACATTAGGAATAAATATCTGCAGGTATCTGCAGACCTGTTGCTGGCTGCGAATATGGCTTCATTGAAACATAAGGGTCAGCAAGGATTCGTTTTGTCCTACCAAAGACACACTAATGCAATTCACATTAAGCCCTTTTCAGGGCTGTTTGGTTCAATTCCAAAGACCAGGGGCTTAGTCTTCTGCAATGGGTGGGTGAGAATCATCGAATTGTAGAGTTGGGAGGGACCCCAGGAGTTATCCAGCCCAAGCTCCTGCTCTGCAGGAATTTCTTTTGCCCAAAAGGGCTTTCCTGCTTGCTGCCCTGTTTCATCCATGATTCACTTTACCAATACTCTTCAAGTGAGTATTTTGTGTAGGCACAAATTCATGGAAATGAATTCCATGAACTCTGCTGGCTATTACTCTCAGTGCCACCCGTGGTGCAGGTTAATGCAGCCGGTGGAATCTAATGTTCCAATCCACACATTGACTACACACATGCAGGAAAGTGCCTGTCCACATTGCAGCCCTTCTTGAAAGCTCAGTAAGATTTGGAGTGCTGCCTCCCTCTTCCCTCTTCTGTGCGCAGAAGTGATCCATACACACGGCAGGTGGTTAAAGCCAGCACCTTCCCAGCCTGATATTGCTATAGTGGAGATGCTTTGCCATTAACAGCAAGCCTGTCAGTTGCTCTAATGCAGGGGTCAGCAACCTAAGACCCATGGGCCAGAAGCAGCCCATGAAGGTCATTTAACTGGCCCACAAGCCCCGCCCCCGAACCGAGCCACCTGCTTGGCGAGCCCCCGTGCGCTGTGCTAAACCCCGTGCGGTGCGGGGACTCGCTTCTGCAGCTCTGGAAATCACTTCTGCGCATTCCCAGATGCTGGAAATCACGTCTGCGCATGTCCGTTGTGCCGGAAATTGCTTCTGCGCCTGCCCAGACACTGAAAATCACGCCTGCGCAGGTGCAATTTTCAGCATCTGGGCAGGCACAGAAGCAATTTCCGGCACCGCGGACATGCACAGATGCGATTTCCAGCATCGTGCTGCGCCGGCCCGGCCCACGGAGGATCTTTGTGGGAGTGATCTGGCCCATGCCTGGTAAGCCTTGCCGACCCCGCTCTAATGTCTGGCTGTGCTTTGTGCACTGTTTGTATGGACTGTCGACATGTCATTGTTATTACGAATTGTGTTCTGTGCTGCAGTGTCCACTGTTGTGCTAAGCAATGTGCTAAGCAATGTGCAAGGGGTTCAGCTTGCACAACAACATGTTCCGTCTGGGTTTCCCAGAGCAGATTTGGGGACAGGCTGGGGAGAGAAGATGGGAAGGATCATTGCACAAGCAGAACTCCTTGCACTGACAGAATATGCCAGCTGGATACTGCCTCCTGATTTTATATCCATGTTGTGATTATGGCTTAATTATTGCATTAGCTTGCCAAGATTCACAATCCTGGATTTTGCAGTCAAAGGCAGAGAAGGCTCAGGCCACTTCCTGCTAGTCTGGGGCCTTCCAGACACAGTTTTGGCACTATTCTCGGATTTGTAGGATGCACCAATTGCCACATGTCCAGTTCCCCAGCCTTTCGGGGCACGCCAACTGTAAAATCAGGCAATAGCCTTTTAACAACCCAGCCATCTCCTCTGGGGATGTGGAACCAACCACAGGACGGGTCTTGTCAGTCTACAGTTGGCTGCATTTCCCTGCCAAGACCACAGCTTCCTGCAACTACAGCAGGAGAGAGATTTAGCTAGCAGGGCTCATTTTGAGCTATCCAAGGTCCTGGTCTTCCACACCCACTGCCTAAGGGAGCTTGACCAGGCTTTATCTGCTTGATGTGACCTTGACTATGGCAACCCAACTTCACAGATACTGCCTGCTTCCTCTGTGCGCCTCAAGCACCCACAGAACAGGATAGAGCTAAACTCTGGTGGAATTAAATTTGGTTTTTGAATTGTTTAATGCTGGTTATTATTACTATGCACTTTTGAAAATGTCTTGATATTGTGATATGTGACTTGTTGCTGTGTGTGTGTGTGTGTGTGTGTGTGTGTAAACAGCTCTGAGCAGGATATACCATATTTCTCGCTCTATAAGATGCACCAGACCACAAGACGCACCTAGTTTTTGGAGGAGGAAAACAAGGCAAAAAATATTCTGAATCTCAGAAGCCAGAGCAGCAAGAGGGATCGCTGCGCAGTGAAAGCAGCAATCCCTCTTGCTGTTCTGGCTTCTGGGATAGCTGTGCAGCCTGCATTTGCTCCATAAGATGCACACATATTTCCCCTTACATTTTAGGAGGGAAAAAGTGAGATAGAGCAAAAAATATGGTATATAGAAAGGCACCATATCACTAAAATGCCAATGAGACAGGGAGGAAGCAGTTTGTGTGATGGTCTCTAGTCTAGGTTTTTCATTTTAGCTTTAAATCCACTGCAGATCACAGGAAGACGTAGGAAAAGAAACTAAACTTCATTTCACTCAGAAACGATACCCCCCCTGCTTTCACCAAAACATTTATCTGTATTTTAGAGCTTAAAATGGGTCAGCCTTCTTAGACTGACAACTGCATAATGTACCTAACATGGGGTTGGACTTAAAGAGATCTCAGCTGCTTCCTGACTTTCTTTTGGATATTGGTAATAATAATAATAATAATAATAATAATAATAATAATACCCTGTCCATCTGGTGGACAGGGCTGCCTTCAGATGTCTTCTAAAAGTCAGATAGTTGTTTATTTCCTTGACATCCGATGGGAGGTTGTTCCACGTGGCAGGTGCCACCACCGAGAAGGCCCTCTGCCTGGTAACCTCACTTCTCACAGTGAGGGACCCGCCAGAAGGCCCTTGGCACTGGGCCTCACTGAATGTATCCCACCACACTAGTTACCAGAGTTTGCTTTCAGGCACAAATCCAAGGCATTGAATCCCCTCCTGCAAGTTTTTCACACCTTGGATACACATTATTTATAAACTCCACTTTTCTCCACATGAATCCCATTGGCATTTACAACCTGTGGACCAGGCCCTGCCAACATATGCGGCCAGGAGCAGAACCTTGACTGCAGTTGCTTTTTAATGGAATGGCAAAAGGGCACCCACGAGGTGGAGAGCTGTCCCACGCAAGTGACCTCTTGGAGGGTATAAAATTCACCTTTCCCCCCAAAAAACTTGTGGGTGACCATTTAGGATATTATGGCCCCAGCTGTGTACTGTTAGTCTTGCTGTACTGTTGGTCTTTACACTGTTAATTTAAAATATTCTACTTCATCCCTTCCAGCCTAGAGGCGGCTGACAAAGCATTAAAGCCATTAAACAGCATGCACACTATAAATAACCACCGTTCCACATTTGCCCCAATTCCTTTCAAATCTATTCAATACCAAAATCACCCAAAAAGGGGTGGTGGAGGAGGAGAGAGGAAGATGTAGGAGAAATACGCAGAAGATAACTTTTAATGACTCCCCATTTGCATGTTAACCAGCAGATGGCAGAATTGGATAACGTAGTTATTCCAATTTCGTACAAAGATTACCATAATAAAGCACAGAAGTGGTAAGGACCTAACAGAAGCAGAAGACATCAAGAAGAGGTGGCAAGAATACACAGAGGAATTATACCAGAAAGATATGGATGGCTCGTACACCCCAGGTAGTCGGACACGACTAAACGACTAAACAACAACAACAACAACAACAGTTATTTCAAAGGCTACTGGAAGGAAAGAGAAGGTGAGATCCAGAAGAAAAGTCACCTCCAAAGTTGGCTCTCCACTGTCAGCCTGTACTTCCTCCCCCCTCTGTCATTTCCTTATCTAGAGGTTTGACAGAGACAGGTGGGTACTGCAGTCTTCTTAAAGAGAGATTGCCAACTTTAGAGTGGCTGAGATCAGGAGGCAAAGGCTCTGATCTCCGGCCACCAGAACAGAAAGTTGCTCCATCTAACTCATGGGTAGGCAAACTAAGGCCCGGGGGCCGGATCTGGCCCAATCACCTTCTAAATCCAGCCCACAGATGGTCAGGGAATCAGAGTGTTTTTACATGAGTAGAATGTGTGCTTTTATTTAAAATGCATCTCTGGGTTATTTGTGGGGCATAGGAATTCGTTCATTATTTTCCATCAAAATATAGTCTGGCCCCCCACAAGGTCTGAGGGACCAGCCCCCTGCTGAAAAAGTTTGCTGACCCCTGATCTAACTTCTCGTTTCCCTGCTGAAACCCATGTCCCTGGTTCATTTCTAACTTGTTGCTCTGGAGTAAATAAACGAATGCGATGTTGGATAATTCCCCAAAAAACAGAAAAACAATCAGTGTTTGTTCACATTGCTGTTGGCATTTTCAGTTCAAAAGTGATGCACAATTAGGGACTGTTTTTATGTTGTTTTGACATCAGCTTCCTTTCCACTGAAATGAATATAAGTTACATTAAAGAGAGGAGTGCAAGACTCAGGGCTCACTCAGACTTCCTTTCGCCCTGTTCTTTCCAGGCACGGATCTGGGCTTTAAAGGTCTGCGTCTGAACAGTTCCTTTTTCATCCTGATACTTTCCCTGGGAAAACCCAATGGTTGTTTGCTGTGATCAGTGGTAAAACACAGGTTTTCCTAGGGAAAACAGCGTCTGTGTGTGTGTGTAGAGTGCTCAGACATGGAGCTTTAAAGTCCAGACCTGTGCCTAGAAATGAGCCCAGTGAATGTCATATTTGGTGGAAACCAAACTGCAGCAGAAAGTAAGCGGCGGTGATTGTGATGGATACAGGTTGGGACAAAAACAGCTGCCTTCTCACATCCCTATTTGGGATTGACGGTCAATTCTGGATCTAAGAAATATAGACTTTTTATTTATTTAATAAATTTAGATCTCGTTTTTCCTCTAGGGAACTCAACGTGATATTCAAGGGGTTTTAGGTTGTCACTGATCCAAGTACAGGTCATCTCCAGATCTAGATCTAGCAAGGTTGTTGCCCACTACTGATTTGTCCCTTTTGGCTCTCTTGTCCACTGAATGTTTCCGAACCAACCAAACACACAGAAGCACCACCATTGGTATTCTGCACTTTCCAACATCATTCTGTGTTAAGAGTGGTGCTGAGCCTCTTTCTATTTACCTTCCCGGTTGATCAGGATACTTTTGTTTGGTGTACGCCTCCAGAGCTGCATAAACTTTCTCACGTAGCGATTCCACCTCTGCAGGACTAGACAGACCCTTGGCATCTGATGGGGTGAGAGAGCAAGGAGGGGAGGGGAATCATGATTAAAAAACAGCACAGCTATTGCCCACTCCTTATCTGTAGGTTGCAGAATGGCCAAGTGAACCGTAATAGCATCGTACTCCATGGTGTATGTTAGCTGTGAAACCGTAATTAACTGGAAAAACAGGCAGAGCAATAATATTACCCATCTACCTGAAAGAGAGCTCTGAGAAGAAACACTGCTGTCCCTAATATATAATATTGGGTAAAGGTAAAGGTGGACATGGGTGGCGCTGTGGTCTAAACCACTGAGCCTCTTGGGCAGGCTTCCTCAACCTCGGCCCTCCAGATGTTTTTGGCCTACAACTTCCATGATCCCTAGCTAGCAGGACCAGTGGACAGGGATGATGGGAATTGTAGTCTCAAAACATCTGGAGGGCCAAGGTTGAAGAAGCCTGCTCTTGGACTTGCAGATCAGAAGGTCAGCGGTTCGAATCCCCGCAATGGGGTGAGCTCCCGTGGCTCTGTCCCAGCTCCTGCCAACCTAGCAGTTCAAAAGCACACCAGTGCAAGTAGATCAATAGGTACCACTGTGGCGGGAAGGTAAACGGCATTTCCATGTGCTGTGGTTTCCGTCACGGTGTTCCATTGCACCAGAAGCAGTTTAGTCATGCTGGCTGCATAGAATCATAGAATCATACAGTTGGAAGAGACCACAAGGGCCATCGAGTCCAACCCCCTGCCAAGCAGGAAACACCATCAGAGCACTCCTGACATATGGTTGTCAAGCCTCTGCTTAAAGACCTCCAAAGAAGGAGACATGACCCAGAAAGCTGTGGACAAACACCACCTCCCTCGGCCTGAAGTGAGATGAGTGCCACACCGCATAGTCACCTTTGACTGGACTTAACCATCCAAGGGTCCTTGACCTTTTTTACTTTACTATGTGGTACCGGCCAGAAACCAAAAAAGACTGCCTCATGGCCATTACATGGCAACAGGATGGCCTTAAAAAGGTAAAGGGACCCCTAACTATTAGGCCCAGTCGCAGACGACTCTGGGGTTGCAATGCTCATTTCACTTTATTGGCCGAGGGAGCCAGCGTACAGCTTCTGGGTCATGTGGCCAGCATGACTAAGCCCCTTCTGGCGAACCAGAGCAGCACACTGAAACGCCGTTTACCTTCCCGCTGGAGCGGTACCTATTTATCTACTTGCACCTTGATGTTCTTTCGAACTGCTAGGTTGGCAGGAGCAGGGACCGAGCAACGGGAGCTCACCCCGTCACGGGGATTCAAACCGCCGACCTTCTTATCGGCAAGCCCTAGGCTCAGTGGTTTAACCCACAGCGCCACCCGCGTCCCTTAAGATGGCCTTAGGCAGGCTTCAAGTGGTATCCCCTTCCTTACAATATGAGGCCTACACATTTTATTCATCTTTTCTACTGCCATCCCCACTGCTGTTCAGTCATTCCTCTCCATGCATTGCTCCATTTCCGTTCTCTTTAAGCACCATCTTTCTTCCGTATTTTCCTGCCACTGGACTAACTTGGCTACCTCAGTGCCACATGGATGAATGAGGGAGTGATGGCAAAGCTGAGCTGTTGAGAGAAGAGGGCACCGAGAAGGCCTTTCCCTAGAACCAGCAAGAACAGGCCTGCCCAGGAGAACCCAGGGCTAAATTTATTCACAAGTTGATGTGACCCTGGACCAGCTTCCCCAGGCATCCACACATACCTGGATTGAACAGGACAATGGCTCGTAGGCACCCCAGCTCAGATTTGTCCATCTGCATGTCTTTCATTTTGGATACCAGCTCAGTAAGGACCCTGTATTAGAGACAAGAGAGGGAATTGGAGAATCAAAGTCTGCAGTGGTGCACTCAGTGTGCAAATAGCAGTCCGAGGTGCCTTCACACCACAGTGTGGAATTGCCAGGCTTCGTTCATTCACTTTTCAAGGGGCATCCATATTGTCAGAAGCTGGACTGAGGAGGAATGGTGAAGACCCTTCTCCTGACCCTTCCTGAGAACAGGAGGACAGTATAGATTTAGATCAGTGGTTTGCAGAAGGGCATAATTCAGAGGCTGCAGAGGGGAGAAGCTGGGAAATATTGGAACAGGAGCAGCAAGAAGAAGAAAAAGCACTAGGGGAGACAGCTGAGAGACTCAGTGTCCTTGGAAAGCATTCCTGACCCCCCTCTCCCAGGACCCGGCGTGCACTGAGAGTAGTAGAACAGAAAGCTCAGAGGCAGAAGGCTCCGATTAGCTGGCGCAGGTCTGACGTAGAATAGGGGCAGTGCCGGATTTACGTATAAGCTAAACATGCTATAGCTTAGGGCCCCACTCTCTTGGGGGGCCCCCAAAAAATTAAAGGAAAAGAATAGATGTACAGTTCCAAAATATAAGATAAAAAACAAATAAAATAAAACCTACATAGGCCACAGTGTTTTGTGTTGTGTAGCCATTTGTTATGTGCAAATGGCTTTAGATACCTATTAGGTCCATAAATTACCATATAGCCTATATTCAACACAAAATACAACGACCATTTGTTGTTGACAAAGGACAGCTGGACATATAAAGGGCCCCATTACCTTCAGTAGCTTAGGGCCTCATCAAACCTAAAACCAGCCCTGAATAGGGGAGACGAAGGGGGCTGGGACTTGACTTGGAGCAACCCCATCATGGCATAGAGACTACATCCCTTTGTCACTCTGTGAATACTGAATAAATTACATGGTAAGGACTCTTCGTGTTATCTACTTGTGGGGGGCTGGCTGCCACTGGGGGAGGGATAGTATTCCCTGAGCCTTGACACATATAGTACCATCATCCAGTCACCATTATCCTGTGTTTTCCATCTTGTTCTTCCACCTTTTCTCAGAGCACAGAAAGCTCACTTTCTTCTGAATTAAAGAGTGGCACCATCTCTCCATGCACAGGTGGCTTATCCCATCATTCCTGACCATTGGCCATGCTGAACAGGGGAAATGGGGAGGTGTTGTTCAATGGGGTTGAACAACACCTGGAAGGCACGAAGGCACTCATTGACTTTTCCTAAGCACCACCCTTCTTCCTTTCAAAAGGCAGTGGCCTAGCAGTGAACTATCACAGCTCAGCACACATTAATCAGGTCCATTTCTGCAGGCGTCATTTTACACTTCTGCTCCTTTTTAAATTAGTCTTCTGATTAACACTAAAATAATAATATTTTTTTTCTTTGTTGTTGTTGTTTAGTCGTTTAGTCGTGTCCGACTCTTTGTGACCCCATGGACCAGAGCACGCCAGGCACTCCTGCCTTCCACTGCCTCCCGCAGTTTGGTCAAACTCATGCTGGTAGCTTCGAGAACACTGTCCCACCATCTCGTCCTCTGTCGTCCCCTTCTCCTTGTGCCCTCCATCTTTCCCAACATCAGGGTCTTTTCCAGGGAGTCTTCTCTTCTCATGAGGTGGCCAAAGTATTGGAGCCTCAGCTTCAGGATCTGTCCTTCCAGTGAGCACTCAGGGCTGATTTCCTTCAGAATGGATAGGTTTGATCTTCTTGCAGTCCATGGGACTCTCAAGAGTCTCCTCCAACACCATAATTCAAAAGCATCAATTCTTCGGTGATCAGCCTTCTTTATGGTCCAGCTCTCACTTCCATACATCACTACTGGGAAAACTATAGCTTTAACTATACAGACCTTTGTCGGCAAGGTGATTTTCTCTGCTTTTTAAGATGCTGTCTAAGTTTGTCATTGCTTTTCTCCCAAGAAGCAGGCATCTTTTAATTTCATGACTGCTGTCACCATCTGCAGTGAACTGCATATAGCATTTTTTTATTTTATTTTTGCTATAATTGCTTAAATGAAATAAAGTTATAACATTCCTTTACAAAAAAGATGGAAGAAATCCTTGACCACCATATTGTCAAAATTTGTTTTCTCATCTTTTTTTTTTAATTGAATGATATAACCAGAAAACCATTTTAGCAGTAATTAAAAGAATGATTAAAAAAATAAATTGGGTGATAAAATAACATCCACCACCACCAAGTTTATAGTGAAGGTGTATTTTGTTTCAAATGCCGACTCAGGTGAACAGGACCTTCTGTTCCCCTTCGCCACCAGTAAATATGTTTGAGCAGCTCATATCGGCATGAATGGACAGAAGATATGGAATACCCCAATAGTGTGGAAAGTCAACTGCAATTCTGCTTATGGTTTATACTAAATGGGTGTTCATTTATAGTGCTAAGAGACGCTTGCCTGGAAGCAGCTATGCGGGCTGTGCAAACATTACCAGCTTAAAACGCATCTAGGTTGCTCTTTTTATCGACTCGGGTTGAAGGTGGTCTGGGAGAAAAGACAGCGAAACACAGTATTTCATAAGAAAAGGCAGGATAGATACGGGTTATGGTTAATGTTGGCTGCACACCACTACCCAGAGAGCTTTTTTCCCTTCCTGAAAGGCTCAAGAAGTGGATTTTCCCTAAGTCCCCCGGTAGCTTAAACGTTGTTTTCCTTTTATTTGCTCATTATTAAATTAAATTAATAATTAATCATACATAAATAAGCAGAAAAATGTGCACCCCACCACTGAGACCATTCCATTATAACTCTGCAACCTCGCAAAATTTCAACACCTCTCGTGCCTCCATTTTAGCAATACACATTCTACAAGCACCCATCATATCTCTTTAAAATCATTTCTCCTACATATTCCCCATCTTACCTTAATGGCACATGTTAATTTATCATTAATAGCTATATTTCCAAGCCTCTTTGTACGATTCTTCCATTTGATATTCTGCTCGCCCCTTCCACTTCCTGGCTATAATAATTCGTGCAGCTGTCAATAAATTTGTGAGCAAGTCCTTCGTCGCCTGTGAACCTTCCACCCCATCATAAATGGATAAAAATGCTACCTCTGGACTTTTGGTCAGCTTTAACCCCGTGATTTCTGCTATCTCCTAACAGAGCTTTTTATTCCACCAAATCAACTCAAAGAAGCTGTGAACGTAGAAAAGTGCAAACGTCAAAACAAGAGTTCAGAAACATGCCTGTCGAAAATGGAGCCCACTCCTGCGCTGTGCGCACTGCTCCGCTGCACATGTAAGCCTGTGGCCAGCAGGATGCCGTCCTGGACGGAGACAGAGCGGTGGGAAAAAGAGGCAATCAGCAGCTCATTCCAACCTAGAAGAGAAGACAGGAGTGAAACAGATGCATCTTATGGGACTTGCCTCTTACAAGCCCTTAATGTGAACTGGATTTATTTGTGTTGGGTGTAGCAAAGCTATCACTTGCTTGCTTGCTTGCTTGCTTGCTTGCTTATTATTCAGTTCTTAAATTTGTATACTGCCCTGTGATGTTAACATATGAGAGTGCTGGAGGTGAATTAGTTAAACAGGTTACCCAATCAGAACTCAGGGGGGTGGAGTCAGAGGGACTATAAAACCAGCTCTGGAAGGGGCGAAAGGAGAGTTCGTTGGGAGTCGGGTGGTTGGTGGGAGTGGGAGTGAATTGGGATAGAGTCTGTGGTTAGGGTGAGTTAGTGTAGTGAAATAAGCTGAGTCAGGAACAGTTAGGAGCTAGGAAGACAAGTAAATATCTGAGAGGTGGTTTAGTGAGTGAGAGCAGGTAGCGGAAGTTATAGGTCTGGATAGGCACCCTATGATTGTAATTGACCAATACCGTTTATGAAACCACACGCTTGTTAAACTGCAATAAATAAACAGAAGTTTATGTTCCAATTTAACCCTGACTGGACTCAGTATTGTACCAGGTAGGGCCTGGGTGGTGGCAGCGAGAAATAAAGTGGTGGCACAGGGATCAATAGACGGTGAAACGTCCGGGGACCCTGTGTGATCGCCACATGCCCTTCCTCTGAAAATCACAGGGTGGTTCACAACATAAAAACACAAAACTGCAGCACAAAATACTTAAAAAACAAAAGCAAACCAATAACTCACTTCCCAGAAAGATATTTAAAAGACAATATAAGGATTTATATAATTTTACAGTATGCAGAGAATAACATGTGTTGAGAAATCACAGGAGCTGAGGGAAGTATCGGGGGGGGAGGGAGGGAGGGTTCGATGGGGAGGTGGGGGAGAAAAGGGAAAAATTAATGAATATGATATGTTCTGATATTTTGTTATGTTGAAATTGTTAATTTTTAAAAAATAAAAAAATAAATACAGTGGTACCTCTGGATGCGAACAGGATCCGTTCCGGAGCCCCATTCGCATCCTGAGCAGAATGCAACCAGCGTCTGCGCATGCGCGCGTTGCGATTCCCCGCTTCTGCACATGTGCGTGATGTCATTTAGAGCGTCTGCGCATGCGCGAGCGGCGAAACCCGGAAGTAACCCGTTCTGTTACTTCCGGGTCACCGCAGGACGCAACCTGAAAATGTTTAATAAAAACTTGCCTCAAGTGATTGAAGGAAGTACAGCAGTGGCAAGGTGAGGGGGCCAAAATCCATACCTGCTCGGAGGAGGATAACTTGGTCTTCCAGTGTTAAGTCTGAGAAGTGTGGGATTCGCTTGGCCCATTCCACCAGCGTGAAGAGTTGTTTGTCAGCCGCGTGGCATATGTTGGTGACAGGATCATTGGTCTAAGCGAGAAGCAGGCATGTGGGTGAGTAAATTCAACCGCCGCCACCTCGTCGTCATAGCTATCCTGCTCCCCGTTACTGAAAGCACCCCAAATACTGAACCCATAAAAAATGCTTGAAGGCAAAAAGGTTTTTGAATCAGGCATTGGTGCCCATAGGATGGACACAGTGAGCCTAGAATGCCTCCAGTATACCTGAAGGAGCGTCTCCATCCCCATCATTCAACCCAGACACTGAGATCCAGCACCGAGGGCCTTCTGGAGGTTCCCTCACAGCGAGAAGCGAGGTTACAGGGAACCAGGCAGAGGGCCTTCTCGGTAGTGGCGCCCGTCCTGTAGAACGCCCTCCCATCAGATGTCAAGGAAATAAACTACCTGACTTTTAGAAGACATCTGAAGGCAGGCCTGTTTAGGGAAGTTTTTAATGTTTGATGTTTTATCATGTTTTTAATATTCTGTTGGGAGCCACCCAGAGTGGCTGGGGTATAAATAAATTATTATTATTATTATTATTATTATTACTCCAATAAACAGCATCTGCAAGTTTCTGCAGTGATTCAAAAGCCCACAAAATCTCTTTGACTAAAAGCGGTCATAGAACAAAAGTGATTTGTGTACAGTGGTACCTCGGGTTAAGTACTTAATTCGTTGTGGAGGTCCGTTCTTAACCTGAAACTGTTCTTAACCTGAAGCACCGCTTTAGCTAATGGGGCCTCCCGCTGCTGCTGCGCCACTGGAGCACGATTTCTGTTCTCATCCTGAAGCAAAGTTCTTAACCCGAGGTAATATTTCTGGGTTAGTGGAGTCTGTAACCTGAAGCGTATGTAAACTGAAGCGTATGTAACCCGAGGTACCACTATACACAACACAGGGAAGAATGCTTTCATTTTATCACTTTTTGCCCTCATTTCAAACTCTTAACTGTTGCCACCTTTGGTTCAAGTTACCGGCACTTTTCTCATCCTCCGTTTATTGGACAATAGCAGAGCGCTTTTTCTCAGGCACTTTACTGGCAATGACCAGCAGAGGAAGCTTTCCTCTCTGTTATCCATTTTTAGCAGTGACATAGGCTGCAACCCCTTGGGATATTGGTAGGTGTCACTCACAACCAGGGTTTGGCAATGGCCATTTAATAATTTGCAGGCAAAAGACTCTATACATGGAGACTGTGCAAACCAGAAATTATTGGTGTTAATCCTGCAAACCTAGCAATTCGAAAGCACATCAAAGTGCAAGTAGATTAATAGGTACCGTTCCGGCGGGAAGGTAAACGGCGTTTCCATGTGCTGTTCTGGTTCACCAGAAGCGGCTTAGTCATGCTGGCCACATGACGTGGGAGCTGTACGCTGGCTCCCTCAGCCAGTAAAGCGAGATGAGCGCCGCAACCCCAGAGTCATCCGTGACTGGACCTAACGGTCAGGGGTTCCCTTACCTTTACCTTTAATCCAAAATCTAGTGGTTGTTTGTAATGCACACCTGCTAGGGTCTTTGTTTTCATAGTACACACCATTTCTGGTTTGTAACCCCAGCAAAGCTAAATAATCCTGCAACTCAATCAAGTAATTCTTGCCTGGATAGATGAATGTGCATATTGCATTTGCAATATGGACTGAATATGGACCCGCCCTGTGGAACGCCCTCCCACCGGATGTCAAAGAGAACAACAACTACCAGACTTTTAGAAGACATCTGAAGGCAGCCCTGTTTAGGGAAGCTTTTAATGTTTGATGCATTACTGTATTTTAATATTTTGTTGGAAGCCGTCCAGAGTGGCTGGGGAAGCCCAGCCAGATGGGCGGGGTATAAATTATTATTATTATTATTATTATTATTATATTAATTTAGACACTACTGAAGGCACCTTTCAGTGCCTAGTTCTAAGATGAACATAGTTGGTTGCCACTATTTGAGTTCTCTGAAGGAAGGTTGTTCTGAAAGGTCCATTTTGGGAGAAGGAAATATGTCCTTGGCTTTCACCGCCTGCTCTTCTGCACCACCAAGAGTGCTCTGTTCCCACTGGAATTCAAACTGGGAGCACCCATAGCGTCATCTCTGTTCCCAGAGAGTAACATATTCAGGCAGCGGTGGTGGCTATTGGTTGAACCTGAAGCAAGAACATGGGCTTTTGTCTGCCTTTGTTTTGTGAACTCTCTACCCCTCAGACAAGGTCATAATGGAGACCAGGATAAAAGGCCCTGCGTTGCGGCTGCTGACAGCCAACACTGGCCACAAAGACACACATGGGGAAACACCCTTGAACTGCCACCAGCATGACTGTTGTCTTTCAAATCCTCCCTCTCCCACCCCAGCCCTCCCTCCCCCTCTTTCCTTTTTCCTTTCTCCTTCTGTGACGGAACTCCTATTTGGGGACTTCCCTGGCTTTTTTCTGGCCCACGTAGGACCAGTCTGGATAGTTGGCCTTGGTGAAGATTTGACATTTTCATCCCCAAAAAGTTTTTGATTTGAGGGACGTGGGTGGTACAGGGACGCAGGTGGTTTAACCCACAGTGCCTAGGACTTGCCAATCAGAAGGTCAGCGGTTTGAATCCCCGGGATGGGGTGAGCTCCCGTTGCTCGGTCCCTGCTCCTGCCAACCTAGCAGTTCAAAAGCACGTCAAAGTGAAAGTAGATAAATAGGTACCGCTCCGGCGGGCGTTTCCGTGCGCTGGCCACGCATGTCATGCTGGCCACATGACCCGGAAGCTGTATGCCGGCTCCCTCAGCCAGTAAAGCGAGATGAGCGCCGCAACCCCAGAGTCGGTCACGACTGGACCTAATGGTCAGGGGTCCCCTTTACCTTTACTTTTACTGGCTTTTTTCTGGCCCACATAGGACCAGTCTGGATAGTTGGCCTTGGTGAAGATTTGACGTTTTCATCCCCAAAAAGTTTTTGATTTGAGTTTCTTCTGAAATGAGACTGCATTTTAATGTTGTATTTAATCTTGTTTTTAAGTTGTATTTTAATCAATTGTTTTTATACCTGGTGTTAGCCGCCCTAAGCCCGGGCTGGGGAGGGCGGGGTATAAATAAAATTTATTATTATTATTATTTGTTTATTTATTTCCAGTCAGTTGGTTCCTCAGGGAGAAGACTGGAGGCAAAATGGTCAGAATTCTCTGAAAGACAACCAAACCACCCTTGCTGCTCTCCTCTGCCAAAGAATACCATTTATACCTAGCCTAAGTTCTCAACACAACCGATCAACCAACTCCCCTTCAGACTGCGAATCTGCAGTGCATATGCCAAAAGACGCCATGTCGTAAGTGTTCGTTCTTTGCAAAGCTCAACAGGCACTTCACATAGAACTGCTGACACCTTGCCCAGTTTGAATCAGGTCTGGTCTGCGCACAATGCTTTGAATGCTGCATATTCATCGAACCAGCATAGATCTGGACTGAGGCAACTTCTGCCATTGACAGAGGATGGCTCTGCAGGTTAAAGCTCTCCAGCATTAGGTGGGCTGTGCTTTGAGCTGGCAGGATCAGGCCAACAGCATGTTATGTTAAACCTGCTTTTTAAGAAGTGTGTGTGCGCTTAAGCTGACCGCTTTTATGCTGGTGCAAAAGAAGCCACGTGGGTTCCCAGCCCCCAAATTCCCCCTGTCTGCTATTTATTTTGTGAACCACCCTGAGACCTGTGGGTAAACGGTGGTATACAAATTTAATAAATAAATAATACTGATATTAATAATAGTTCCCCACCACAAACAGTACCTTCGAGACAAACAGAAGTCAGGTGTTATGTACTGAGTTGAATAGGATCCAAAATGCAGCAGTCTGATTGGTCCTAGAACAATAGGATTCAGAATGCAGCAGTCTGATTGGTCCTAGAGCAATAGGATTCCGAATGCAGCAGTCTATTGGTCCTAGAACAATAGGATTCAGAATGCAGCAGTCTGATTGGTCCTAGAACAATAGGATCCAGAATGCAGCAGTCTGATTGGTCCACAGGAGCCACCCAATCCAGCTCCAGGTGGAAGGGAATCCGCAACCTGATTGGCCTACAGGAGAATCCCGGAATTAGCCAATCACGTGGGGCCCATCGTGTAAATAATGTATATAAAGCAGACATTCTGGGGGAACTCCCATTCCTCCTCACCACTAAGAGCTGAATAAAGAGCATGAAATCCACTCTCAACTCCGAGTATATTTCATCAGGGGTGTGTGAATTTCAGCAGGATCCCAGTTTGGACCAGCAGCTTTTCTTTGCTTTTTAAAAAAGGCCAGCTTAAGCACTTTTTTTTTTAAAAGCCTGTTTAGCAAAATGTGTAGTTTGGCCCTCTGGGCATGCATGTATGAATTACTCTCATTATTCTTCACTCTCAAATTTAATAAACAGAAATTTAATTAATACTACTACTACTACTAATAGTAATAATAAGTTGTCCAAGTAACAGCCCAGTCCCAAGCAGCCACCTACTGAGTTGTCAGCGTTCACATCACTGTAAGATTCGGTTTTGGGCTCAACAGCCATTTCAGCCTCTAAAATCCTCTCCACAGGCATGTCTTCATTGCTGCTGCCACAGCTGCTTGTAGACTCAGCTTCATTCTCACTCCGCTCTCTGCTTCTCTGCCTCTCCTCTTGAACCGCTGAGTAGGAAAATATATATATATATTTAAAAAAAACCAGGTTTTGCCCCAGTCCAAACATTTCAGGTATGTTAAGTTGTGGGTGAACATATCAGACGACACAGCGATTCTTCAGATAGCTCTTGTTTATTCACAGGCCAGAACAGAACTGAACTGAAGGGTTCAGCCAACCTGCTTATATAGAGCTCAACTACAATGCAACAGTAACAACTTTCTGTAACTATCCAATCACTGAACGTCACTTTCAATTCCTTATTTTGTAAAATTTGTAATTTATATAGTTAAAATTGTTAGTAGTATTGGAATAACATTTGTTGTTTAATGGTGAATTTTGGACACAATGGAGAGGTAAAATATTTGGATTATTATAAAAGATTCAGGAGGAAATGATTAACAGTAGGACCCACAAAGGGGAGAAGGGAAGTCCAGGAGATTCTTTGGAATCTTGTATCTATGTTGTATGTTTGATATGTGACTGTAAAATTTTAATCTGAAAAACCAAATAAATAAATTTATTAAATATATAAAATATAAAATATATCTGTGCTTTTTTCTGGGGGGATGCAGGGGTGTGCATAGCCCGAAACATTTTGTGAATCTTTGTACTTTTGTCCATTTACTGTTTTTATTTTTCCCGATTTGAACTAAAAAATGGTGATTTTCTTGAGTCAAAATGAGAGTACCCCTAAACATTTTTAAAGGAAAAAAGCACTAAATAATATAAATATAAATATAAATATAAAAATATAAATATAAAAATATAAATATAAATATAAATATAAATATAAATATAAATATAAATATAAATATAAATGTTTGCCCTGCAGTGTATTCACTCCCAACTCTGTGGGACTGGTTCATCCAGTGCAGTGATAGAGCAGAGATTCTGGGCTACCAACTGTCCAGATTATTCCGGCCAGCGCAACCAAGGATGGAGCGTGTGTGTTGTGTCTCCCCAAACGGACATACCTTCTCTCTTCATCCCCATCGCTAGACATTTCTGGTAGCGGCAGTACTGGCAGCGATTCCGTTGGCGCTTGTCAATCAGGCAGTCCTTGTTATCGCGGCATGTGTAGATGAGGTCCTTCCTGATGGTCCGCTTGAAGAAGCCTTTGCAGCCTTCGCAGCTGTATACCCCATAGTGCTTCCCTGGCAAGAAGGCAGAAGCACATGTCAGGAGACGAGAGCAAGCGATTCGAGGGAGGTGCAGAGAGGCAGCCGTGGACTTTGGGCTCTCAAATTTCAGCGGCACCCTGGGCAACACTAAAATTCGCCTCTCTCGCTCCGTTCTACGGTGTTAATTTAGCAACCCCTGCCCATGGAGTAACGAAGAGTCGGACACGACTAAACGACTAAACAATGTGAAAGCCACCATGGAGTTTTGCGTTCTAGCAACGTTTTATATCTATTCCATACCTCATAAATTGATTTCCTTATAGTGTGGTTTAAGAAGCCTCTATGAATTTTAACCTTATCATACCACAAATACGCGTGCCATCCGAATCTGTTATCATATCCTTCTAAATCCAATACATCTGTATTGTCCAAAAGTATCCAATCCTTTAACCGGCAGAAACAGGACGCCTCATAGTAAATTTCTCATCTTGAGAAACCCCAAACCTGGCAACGTTCAACCTGTCTGACGAGCTAGACTAAGGTTGGAGACAGAAAGTAGTTTTTAAGAGACTTAAGAACATTAGTGACCACCCTCCCTCCCCTTGCTGGATTAAACAAAAAGATCAATCCAACTAGCCCACTAAAAGCAAGGCCTGGAGGCCATAGCCCCTGAACATGTTGGCTCCATTTGGCAATGGGTTTGTCTAATCACCTTTTAAGGAGAAGGCCCCATGGAACTCAATGGGACTTGCTTCTCAGAAGAAACGTGTAGGACTCTGCTATAAAGTCATCTAAGATGGTGCCTGTCACCATGGGTGTAGCCAGGGGGCAGGGGGACAGGGGGACAGCTGCCACCCTAAATCAAGTAAATAAATAAAAATATTTAACTAACTGACCAATCACATCACAGATAGCTCAGTTTTGCCCCCCCTACATAAATCCGGGCTACACCCATGCCTATCACCTTGCCTTGTGGCAGTGAATTTGATAAATTGTTGTTGGGGGGGCACTTATTTGTCTGTCTTCAATCCATCAATCAGAAAGTTTGTGTGTAACGTGCCGAATACGCATTGCTGAATACTTTGCTTTCAAAGAGTTTGGTCTTTGGGGAGAAGATCTTTTAAAAGGCCTGGAGCAGGAATTACTGACCTCAACTAGAAAATCAATGAGGCAGGGTCGCGTAGCATGGAATAGCCAAGTCTTCTGGCTGCTTCCATGTCTTATACAGCTCAAGGGAGCCTGAAATTTGCCTTGACAAAAATGTAAGTATGAGATTCTCAAGTTCCCATGTTAACACCCAGTTCCATAAAGAATGACAGTGCTCAGAACTGTAATACAGTGGTACCTCGCAAGACGAATGCCTCGCAAGACAAAAAACTCGCTAGACGAAAGGGTTTTTTGTTTTTTGAGCTGCTTCGCAAGACAATTTTCCCTATGGGCTTGCTTTGCAAACGTCTTGCAAATTTGTTTCCTTTTTCTTAACGCCATTAATACAGTTGCGACTTGACTTCGAGGAGCAACTCATAGAACACAGTGTGGTAGCCTTTTTTGAGGTTTTTAAAGACTTTGGTGATTTTTGAAGCTTTTCCAAAACTTTCCCGACACCGTGCTTCGCAAGACGAAAAAAATCGCAAGACGACAAAACTCGCGGAACGAATTAATTTTGTCTTGCGAGGCACCACTGTACCCTGGAATATCTGACTACAGATTAGGAATAAAGGTAAAAAAGGTAAAGGACTCCTGGATGGTTAAGTCCAGTCAAAGGTGACTATGGGGTTGCGGCGCTCATCTCGCTTCAGACTGAGGGAGCCGGCGTTTGTCCACATACAGCTTTCCGGGTCATGTGGCCAGCAGGATTGAACAGCTTCTGGTGCAACGGAACACTGTGATGGAACCCAGAGTGCACAGAAACACCATTTACCTTCCCGCCGGAGTGGTACCTATTTATCTACTTGCACAGGCGTGCTTTCGGAGTACTAAGTTGGCAGGAGCTGGGACAGAGCAACGGGAGCTCACCCCGTCACGGGGATTCAAACTGCCGAACTTCCGATTGGCAAGCCCAAGAGGCTCAGTAGTTTAGACCACAGCACCACCCACACCAAAACCAATCAATACAATCTTATTTTGCGGGGGTGGACATAATGTCCTTAAAGATGCCAAGTATCTTCATATACAAGCTGCAGTCAAGAGCTTAAAATAGGTTTGGTACCTGATGACCTGTCCCCACAAATCGCACAGATGTGCTTGGTCAGCGATCCTGGGCTCGTGGATGCGTAATTCATGGCTCCCATCCCTTGCAGTCCCGGCAGAGGCTTAACGTCTTCAGAGCTGCTGACACTATTCATGACATTAAGCTGAAAAGAGAAGGTGGACACACAGAGAGAAAGAGAGAGGTGCTTCTTTGGCTTGATGCTATGACTGTGACCCAACATTCACGTTAACAGCAAGATCGTAACCAGCAAGATCGTAGAAGCAGAGTCTGGCTGTGAGCCTGCCAGTGCATGCTCAAGGCACCCGACTGACTATTTGAGACAGCGCAACCAGGCATTTCTAAGCTAAGTTGCCAAGCCGCTGCCACAGATCCAATGAATAACAACAAGTGGGAAGAGGGGACATAGCATGACTCACTTCTCCATAAGACTCTTGGTGAAAGTGCTTCTTGGGAGAAGGTTGAGTGCCTCCTGAGATTCTGGCCTTCTGAGCTGCAACCAGCTAAGCTGTGTCTTAGAATCATTTTTCCCCAAAAAAAGAAAATGATAAGCATCCTTCTCTCGTGTGATACCCACCATTTCCAAATCTTTCGTTTACAAACCTTGCTATCTGGGGACTCTGGGAAGTGAAATTTCTTCAGATTCTGCCTATGTACCTTTGCAAATATCTCTTTGTAAGGCCGTGTGTCTTCTACTGATCGTATTTGCTTTAGTTCTGACATTTCTGCACACTTTCCAATTATACTTCTTCATTTGCTATGTGTGCTAGTGATTTGTGCATCCTTCAAATAGCCTTATATGGTAGTAAAAGCACCAGCCTTCTATGTTTGCTTTTGTATGTATATTCCAGTAGAAAATTTGATCATCCAAATACTTAAAGGTAAAGGGCCCCTGACCATTAGGTTCAGTCGTGACCGACTCTGGGGCTGCGGCGCTCATCTCACTTTATTGGCCGAGGGAGCCGGTGTACAGCTTCTGGGTCATGTGGCCAGCATGGCTAAGCTGCTTCTGGTGAACCAGACCAGCGCACGGAAACGCCGTTTACCTTTCCGCCAGAGCGGTACCTATTTATCTGCTTGCAACTTTGACGTGCTTTCGAACTGCTAGGTTGGCAAGAGCAGGGACCGAGCAACGGGAGCTCACCCCATCACGGGGATTTGAACCGCCCACCTTCTGATCGCCAAGTCCTAGGCTCTGTGGTTTAACCCACAGCGCCACCCGCGTCCCCATCCAAATACTTAGTGATGTATAATAACCATGTGATGTTCAAAAACTCATACACATGTTTCCTATAGGGGTCTGCTGAAGCCTCCTGCAAAATATCCTTAATGTGAAATCTCCGAACACATCCACTGGAATTCCTTGGTAGTTTTGCTGAACCTCAGAGGTTTCACTTCGGACAAGAATTGAGAGAACTTTTAACATGCTTACAAGGAACTCCAGCATTCCCTGGAACTGCTCCAACCTAATAAGTTTCCATATTGGGGCCAGATGCAACTTTAGAAAAGCTCCTGACTGATATCCAATTATACTGCTGGAAGTGGTATTAAGATCAATCTACTGCTTTAATGCAAGATCCTTCATGCACCAATTAACCGATTAATCAATCCATAGGCCATGAAGCACAAAAGAGAACAACATTGATCAAGGTATGAAAACCAGTTGTTCAGAGCAAGTAAGCCAAAGGAAGTTCCCAAGACTTCTAGACACTTTGGTCAGCTCCAGAATGCTCTGAAAGTTTTCAGCACTCAAATGTATGACCGTGAATGTCTCCAAATGGTGCTTATCCCATTTTTACTAGTGTGTTCCTTTGGGCTCAGAAAAGTGTGATGTGGGGGGTTTAACTGAAAAGCACCAGTAGAAGGGAAGTCAAGAAGTCTAGCCAAATCTGTTGCACTTTGCTGGTTTGGGGCAAGCGTCATCTTGTGGCTTTTGCCGTTCAACTGGTTTCCTAATATTATTTCAGCTCTATAAACTACTCTTGTAGACTTACACACATACCTCTCAAGAACAAAGGATAGCAATATTTTGGTGTTTTTTATGTATTTTTTAAAAGCCAAACCCATGAAAGATCAAAATCTACATCCAAGCATGTAGCAGTTCATCAAGAAACTTTGCAAGAGATTTTAAGCAGGCGAAGTTTCCCAGGAGTACGGGTGTTCGTTCCTCTTCCTTCCCTTTGTCTCTGCTCAAAATGGCCCACCCAAGGAAATTCCCCTCGCTCAGCAGGGCTCAAAAATGTCCTGTGTCTGAAGATGCAATTTGCAGTCCACCTAAAAGAAAGTCTTGTGAAGGGGACGAGTGATACTGGAAAAACAGCAGGCAGGGAAAGATGAAGCCCCCATCACCAACACATGGCTACTCCAACTTCCCCTAGCTTCACCTCTTCTATAAAGTGTGTGGGGGGTGTTACATGGATTCATGCAGTTTAGGTAAAGGTAAAAGGCCCAGTCGTGACCGACTCTGGGGTTGCGGCGCTCATCTCGCTTTATTGGCTGAGGGAGCCGGTGTACAGCTTCCGGGTCATGTGGCCAGCATGACTAAGCCGCTTCTGGCGAACCAGAGCAGCGCACAGAAACGCCGTTTACCTTCCTGCCGGAGTGGTACCTATTTATCTACTTGCACTTGGACGTGCTTTCAAACTGCTAGGTTGGCAGGAGCAGGGACCGAGCAACGGGAGCTCACCCCGTCACAGGGATTTGAACCGCCGACCTTCTAATTGGCAAGTCCTAGGCTCTGTGGTTTAACCCACAGCGCCACCCATGTCCCTATATTCATGCAGTTTACTGTACTGTTTAATTTCTGGAAACCAAGGGAGATCACATTCCAGGGTGTCCTTTTTGTTTTTTAATTAGGGAAGCAGAAATCATTGGTGCATATAAGACATAAGCTCTTCTTCAGGGAGAATGGCTGATGAGAACAGTAGTATAATCAGGATGTACTTATTGGCTGTGTCTATTAGTTACTAAATAGCTAAAGTTCTCTAGGTAACGGGCAGCTGAATAATAATAATAATAAAAAACACCCCACAAAATAGGAAATCTGGACACAGCCTGGGCAGGGAAACAAAATGACAACAATTTTGCAATGTAGTTAGTTATTGTTTGAAAAATAATTATTGTGGCATATTTGGTATGGAATAGTTAAGTGTGTTTTCAAGGTGGCAGATTAAAAGGCCAGAGACAGCTTGCTCAGAAGCCCAGTGAGGGCAATGAGCTTTCAGAGACTGACACCACTATGCTGTGCTGCAGCCTAACTCAGTACAGCGCATATAATAATAATTATTTATTTATACCCCGCACATCTGGCTGAGTTTCCCCAGCTGCTCTGGGTGGCTCCCAACAGAATATTACAAACACGATTAAACATCAAACATTAAAAACTTTCCTAAACAGGGCTGCCTTCAGACGTCTTCTAAAAGTCAGATAGTTGTTTATTTCCTTGACGTGTGATGGGAAGATGTTCCACAGGGCGGGTGCCACCACCAAGACGGCCCTCTGCCTGGTCCCCTGTAACCTCACTTCTCACAGTGAAGGAACTGCCAGAAGGCCCTCGGCACTGGACCTCAATGAATGTATCCCACCACACTAGTTACCAGAGTTTGCTTTCAGGCACAAATCCAAGGTACTGAATCTCCAGAAGGCCCTCGGCGCTGGACCTCAGTGTCTGGGCTGAATGATGGGGGTGGAGACGTTCCTTCAGGTATACTGGGCCGAGGCCATTTAGGGCTTTCAAGGTCAGCACCAACACTTTGAATTGTGCTCAGAAATGTCCTGGGAGCCAATGTAGGTCTTTCAAGACCGGTGTGATGTGGTCTCAGCGGCCGCTCCCAGTCACCAGTCTAGCTGCCGCATTCTGGGTTAGTTGTAGTTTCCAGGTCACCTTCAAAGGTAGTCCCACATAGAGCGCGTTGCCATTGTCTTTGGACAATGCAATTGCACTCATTAAGTGCTGTTGTTTGGAGGGGGGGGGGAATCAGAGACAGATCACGCTGAAGAGCAACAACAGTCAGAAGTTGTGGGGGTTTTTTGCACCATAGCTTCTTACCAGGAGCACTCTAGTGACCAGCAGTTGCTTCACGAGTCCACCACCCATTCCAGCTTCCAGAGCAGGATACAGAATCGGCAGCCACTGAAGGATCACCCTTCTACTTGAGGCAGCTCAGTGCTGTGAGGCACTTTAACCTTCTGAGCATAGCTGTCAACTTACAGATATGAAAACAAGGAACCAGCAGCCTCAAAAATAAGGGATCAGCAGCCAAAATAAGGGATTTTCAGAGCACAGGTAGGTTCAACTTCTGAGCCCCTCCGAGCCAAAGGCAGAAAGCCCAGCCAGCAGCCAAACAAAGCCTCAAGCGGTGGTTCCCACAGCGCAGCAACCCAGCAAAGGGGATGCAGCAAGGAAAACCACCGTCAGCTCTCCGCTGGGAAGCGCTGAGCAAAGGCGAGTCCCCAGGCAACGCGGCCGATTTGTTCAGCACAAGGCATGCAAGCTCCACCAACCAGTCGTTCTTAGACTCCTTATTGGGTGAGCAACACAGCCAAGCAGCACAGTTGAGGAGCCTCCCTCCTCCTTGGCCGGCAGGGAGGGAGGGAGAGGAGCTGCTTCCTTTGAAACCCGGGAAATTTAAGGGACATCATCAATAAGGGACAGCAGCAGGACACAGCGCTGGGATAAGGGACTTTCCCACCAAATAAGGGACAGTTGGCAGCTATGCTTCTGAGCATTGCCTTAAGGAAATGCTCACTTGGCTAGCGCTGAAACCCGGTCAATTTTTGTGGAGTTTGGGTTGCTGCCCTTTTGCTGCACAGTTTCTGGGAAGCAGTTCGGTGTTCCGGGAGGAGGAGGAGGAAGAAGAAGAGCAAACATTGTCTCCAAGCACTCTGAGTTGTAAAAGCAAATGTGAAAACCCAGCCGACCACCCTCTTAGCTCCAGGGACTTCTGGAACAGCATCTCCACGCTATGAGAGTAGACCTGCAATCTTGCCACCCACTTGCAAGTTGGGGGGATAAGGGCCACATAATTCGGGCAGGGCTTCCTTCAAAAACAAAAGCAGAATTTGGTAAGCAGGTCTAGCACCTTCCCCTCCCATATTCCCCAGCCAAAGTACAGGGTAGGGGGAACCGGCGTCTCCTTAAAAGTCTTTGGAGTTTGGTTCCTGCACATTAAGCTCAGTGATGTATGATACTTGGGACAGCTGCTTGAACCCAAATCCATTAGCTGACTGCTTGCTAATCCCCAAAGACCAGCTGCCTCATCCCATTAGCAGGAAAGCAAGTGAACCGCACTCCTTCGAGCTACTCAGCACGACAGCTTGGAACTGCAGCCCCTGTTCAGAGTCCATGTTTTGCAAAAGGGTTTGGAGGGGGGGGGGTTGTTCACATTTTACCAGATGATCTGCCCCAGCCAGGTGATACCGGGGCAGCAAAAGCAACATTTGAACACCTCTTCTAAATCTCACGTCGCAAACCACGAAAGAACGTGAGAACGAGGGCTTGTTCACACTTCTGCTTGTTCCAGCGGCTTTTTCCAAGGGAAAAATCACTCTTCACTGCTGAATTGCAGCAAACATCCATCTGGTTTTCTGTGTATCATTGTTTGCTCTGATTCAGTGAGAAAGGGCAGGTTTTCCCAGGGAAAGCTCTCTGGCCCTGGGACAAGTGGGAGTGTGGATGAGCTCTTATAATTCAGTCAACACTTGGGATATATCATGGAGGCCTGTTGAAAGGCAGGTAGGCACTTTTTCCCTTTCTCACCTGGGGATGCAAAGATTTTAATACTCCTTCAGACCACCCTCGTGCAAAGCCCATATTAAGCAGCAGCAGCAACACTCTTTATAACAGGAACCAGTTGGGTCCCAGTCCTTCCAGGCCAGGTAGAAAAGGCCAGTTGCCAGATTGAGAGACGGGGAAGTTGTTCTTACAGGACTCACAGCCAACAGCAAACTGCCTAATCTTGGCTTAAGGGGGGTGGAATTTGCTTCGCGGAGGACAGAGAAAGGTTGCAAAAGGAGAGAACAAAATTTCCAAGGCTGGGTTTGGATTTGTTACATCTGTGGTTAGCAAGAAGGCAGCATAATCTGTTACGGCCTTATAAATAAATGCTTCATGAGACCTGCAATGAATTGTTTCGCTGTGCGCCGAACCCTCACTGCCCATGTACATTTGTGGCATGCAGCTCCTCTGCCTGCAAGTGTGCTGGCTAGGGCTGATGGGGAGGGGCACCAGGTTTGCAAAGGGTGCACCATACACAGAGATGAAGTTGAGTGGGGGCTGCAAAACAATGTTGAGAGGGGGAATCAAATCTCTTAGGAAGGCATCCAACCAAACAGTTCCTTGCAGGAATGGGAGTGGCCGCCAAGACCATATAACACCGGTCCTGAAAGACCTACATAGGCTCCCAGTACGTTTCCGAGCACAATTCAAAGTGTTGGTGCTGACCTTTAAAGCCCTAAACAGCCTCGGTACTGTATACCTGAAGGAGCGTCTCCACCCCCATCATTCAGCACTGAGGTCCAGCGCCGAGGGCCTTCTGACGGTTCCCTCACTGCAAGAAGCGAGGTTACAGGAAACCAGGCAGAGGGCCTTCTCTGTGGTGGCACCCACCCTCTTGGAAAGCCCTCCCATCAGATGTCAAGGAAATAAACAACTACCTGACTTTTAGAAGACATCTGAAGACAACCCTGTTTAGGGAAGTTTTTAATGTTTGATGTTTTATCATGTTTGTAATATTCTGTTGGGATCCATCCAGAGTGGCTGGGGAAACCCAGCCAGATGGGCGGGGTATAAATTATTATTATGCAAGGAGTTTTAGTTGTCCGTTGGAACTTCTCCTCCCTCTCCTTTCACCAAACAACCTCTAAATTTGTTCCAGCTTTTCCCCTGACTCTCTAGAAGAGATTTACTTGGTGCACTCCTTGCGCTAGCTGAACTTCTTTAGCTTTTATTTCCAAGTCTCTAGTCATGCTAGAACATAGCAGAAAGGTTCTGGAATATCTGGAGCAGAATACCTGTTTGTCTGGAACACAGTAGGGAAGTCAACTGCTTTATTCATCTCTTTCAGAAAGACCTCCTACATGCAAGGAATTCCACAAATAATTGAGAACTGGGCCTAACATACGGCATAGTCATGAAAACTCCAGTTTACCAAATTGCATAAAAAAAGAATATCAGTTGCTACCGACCTGGGGGCTAGTGTGTGCAGCAAAATTCACGCCCGCTGGTGAAGACAAAGGAACGGAATGCGATCCCATAGAGGACGTGAGCACTCTGTACGGAGAGCTCATTGTATTCACAGATGCTGCTGAGCTCATAGGCGATGAGAGAGTCCTTGAAGCACTGAGGGGAGACTCAAGGTAGTTGGACGTGCCATCTAAGGGATTCCCTGTGGGAAGGCCCGATCCCAGATTTGCAGGTGCAGAATTGCTGTGAACTGGAGAATCTGAAATGAAAAGAGAGACTCCATGAAGGTGGGCGACAAAAAGGTAAATGCAGAGCACTTGGAGGTAATGACCGCTCCCCACATCAAATGGGGGGGTGCCTTTTGCATGGTCACGTGCAGCCCCCCCCATCCCATGCAGCTCCCGGATTCGCGCCCCCCCCCCAGCCAGACACCTGGAGGTAGCCACCTACCTCTGCCAGTTAACCAATCCCAGCTGGGGAGGCGTTGCCAGATGAGAGTTGGCCAGGTAAGGGAAGGGACCGCCCTGCCCACACAATAGTGGGTGGAACTTACCTGGGGGTTCTCAGTTGGCTTCAGAGCTTTTCCCACCCTGCCCTCCCTCAGTTAAGCCTTCTTTTGCAGGTTAACCTCTTCTTCACTGGTACGCAGGCGTTGCTATGTTATGGTTGCTGTTTGAAGGGCCGGAAAGGAATTTTCCTGCATTGGCAGGTTTTGCCTTCCCCGTAGCAAGACGTCACAACTTTGGTGGTTTCAGGCCTTGGGCGGAACCCTTTAGTTTATCTTCTCTAAATTGGTGGGGTGCGTGAAGCGGTGACCCACGCCCCCCCTGCGGCGGCAATCCCAGGGTTCCCCGCTAAAGGGGTTGTTTTGAGGGGAGGCATTGGCCATACGCCTAGAGGTTGTCATTGCTTTCCCCTGCGACGGTGGCGTAACGGGGGCAGGCTCTCTGCTTGAACAGACATTCTCCAGAGCCAGCCCAATCCCCACACATTCTGGATAACCCTGATGTTCCCCAGATCCCCGGCCGGGGACTGGGAGGGATAAACGCCCAATGCCTAAGCCAAGGTCTTCCTACATCTGAAGCTTTAATAAAGTTGTGGCCAAATTTTAATCCCATAACACGTTTTCTTGAGTCATTATTCCACTTGGGTGTCTCCCGGGGTTGGGGGGTCTCCGCCTGTCCACGCAAACATAATCCTACAGCAGGCAGCGAAACTACTAATTTTGCAACAGATTCCCAAACAGCAGCAACTACACGCCAGCTTTCACCCATCTACAGCTTAAACGCATAACTTTTACCATTCTTTCTGTGTGTCTGAATTCAAAACTACAAACTCTTCCAGTTGTCTCTCTGTCCTTTTTCCTCCCCCCCCCCCGCTCTTTCCAGGCACACATCTGCTCTTTAAAGCTCCATGTCCAAGTGCTCTATCTCTCTTTCTCACCCCAGAGCTTTCCCCACGTAAACCTGCTCTTTAAATCGGAAGCACAGCAATTCAGGTTTTCTGGGGAGTTCCCATTTGCTCCGATTCAGCTTTAAAGAGCGAGTTTTCACAGGGAAAGCTCTGGAGCAAAAAAAAAAAAAGTGCTCGGACACTGAGCTTTAAGTGCGGACTATGCCTGGAAAGGGGATGCGGGTGGCGCTGTGGGTTAAACCACAGAGCCTAGGACTTGCCGATCAGAAGGTCAGCGGTTCGAATCCCCGTGACGGGGTGAGCTCCCGTTGCTCAGTCCCTGCTCCTGCCAACCTAGCAGTTCGAAAGCACGTCAAAGTGCAAGTAGATAAATAGGTACCGCTCTGGCGGGAAGGTAAACGCCGTTTCCGTGCACTGCTCTGGTTCACCAGAAGCGGCTTAGTCATGCTGGCCACATGACCCGGAAGCTGTACGCCAGCTCCCTCGGCCAATAAAGTGAGATGAGCGCCACAACCCCAGAGTTGGTCACGACTGGACCTAATGGTTAGGGGTCCCTTTACCCTTTACCTTTATGCCTGGAAAGTGCAAAGGAAAGGTAAGTCTGGACAAGCCCTTCCTTCCCCCCGCCCACCCCCAAAAGAAACTTTTCAAGGACTGTACAAAATAGTTGCCATGCAGAAGTCACTTTTGTCTTTGTTTTTAAGATGAGCTTCTTGTGGTGCGTGTATCCTCACGAGTCATTTGTGCACAATGGCTCATCATGAAGATAATGCTATTTTCTACCCCTAAAAACCAGTCACCGTTAAACAGGTTTATCAGATAAGGAGGATTTGATCAGTTTTCTATCGTTCACTGTTGCCGGATATCTGCAAACTAGAGGGGACGACTGTCAGCTAGAAAACAATGAGAGAGGAAAGGGTTCTGCCCGCCTCTGCCCCCCAATTCAATCTCAATCTCAGTGGTGCCTATGGCTTCAAAGGTTTGAAACAGGCATCTTAATTGGAGTCACCAAGTTAAAGGGCACTGAGTGAAGTTTGCAGGGCCCTCAAAGAAGCATTTTTCCGATGCGCATGCTTCATATAACAACCCAAATGGTGAAAATAACAGGGCTCTCTGAAAGGCCATTGTGGTTCGATTCCTTTGCCATTCCATGCCTAGTGGGAGAGCTGATTCAAAGGGAGAAAGACAGACAGACAAGGACCTTTTCCATTCCATGCACAGAATTAAACCCGAAATGGGTTGATCGCAGGAGAATCCGGACTCCATTGACTCTGACAAATGTCTTTAACGTTATTCAAGAAGCTGACCTTTTGTTATCTTTTATTGTGCATCTTCCCTTTGAATCAGATTTGACTGTTACTTCAGGTAAAATAACAAACACTGTCACAGGAACCGTCTTTGCAATAAATAAATATTGAAGTTGTGGGGGAGAGGGAGGGAGAGAGGCAAATCGGGCTGGCGTGTCGTTGCAGCAACTTCGCGGCAGCTACAGAGAGCAAGTCCTGACCTTTCTGCTGAGCAACTTCTCCTCTGCAGACCAAACTAGACAATATGCTAGATGGGTAATTGTATTTAATATGCCTAGCTCCCCTCCTTTTAAGAACAGCTATGAGGATACTGGAAGGGCAGATTGTGAAGCTGAGACTCCACTACTTTGGCCACCTCATGAGAAGAGAAGACTCCCTGGAAAAGACCCTGATGTTGGGAAAGATGGAGGGCACAAGGAGAAGGGGACGGCAGAGGACGAGATGGTGGGACAGTGTTCTCGAAGCTACCAGCATGAGTTTGACCAAACTGCAGGAGGCAGTGGAAGACAGGAGTGCCTGGCGTGCTCTGGTCCATGGGGCCACGAAGAGTCGGACACAACTAAACGACTAAACAACAACAACATGAGGATGGGGAGGAGCATCTGCAGAATCTTTTCCATCCTGAAACCATCTCCCTCTCTCTGAAGCTGCTATTTGACTCAAGGGTGAAGCCACAAGACAAGTCCATGATGGCATTCTTCACTCATAATCGCACAATCAAGCGAAGGAAATACTGCTTGATGGAAATTGCCCGGGCAGGACAAAGGCCTGTATGTTTGGGGTGGAGTTGGGGGGATGAATTTCAATAGGGAGGAATGTAAGGTTCTGCACTTAGGCAGGAAGAACCAGTGGCACAAATATAAGACGTGGGACATTTGGATTGCCAGTGGTACATGTGAAAAGGATCTGGGGGTCTTAGTAGACCACAGGCTTAACATGAGCCAACAGCGTGAAGCAGCAGTAAAAAAAGCTAACACTACAGAAGTATGGGACGCGTGTGGCACTGTGGGTTAAACCACAGAGCCTAGGACTTGCCGATCAGAAGGTTGGCGGTTCGAATCCCTGCAATGGGGTAAGCTCCCGTTGCTCAGTCCCTGCTCCTGCCACCCTAGCAGTTCGAAAGCATGTCAAAGTGCAAGTAGATAAATAGGTACCACTCCGGCGGGAAGGTAAACGGCGTTTCCGTGCGCTGCTCTGGTTCGCCAGAAGCGGCTTAGTCGTGCTGGCCACATGACCCGGAAGCTGTACGCCGGCTCCCTCGGCCAATAAAGCGAGATGAGCGCCACAACCCCAGAGTTGGCCACGACTGGACCTAATGGTCAGGGGTCCCTTTACCTTTAGTCTTAATAAAACGCTAGTGTCTCGCTGAATTCCTCAGATGTTTTGCCTAAGAAGGAAACCCAAACTTTCCTTCAAATTTCTCCTTATGAAAAATGCAGCAATATTGTACATCAATGTGCCGAACTCTGAGGAAATTTTCTATCCTTATGGAAGTCTTTTGTTTAAGAATGACTAGACTTTATACCAGGAGAGCCACCCTCCACATTTTCCCCTTCCAAGTTAAAAGCAACTGAAATGTACTCTGATGGATGAGGGTCGGTCACAATCCATTCACACATCCAGCGATACAAACACACACACAGACATCCATCTAACTATGCCCTGCAAAGCACCTTAAGGTCCATGCATAATCATGGTTTAGAGGTCCCGGGCCCTAAGGGAGTCAGATTATCCTCCACCAGGGCCAGGGCCTTCTCAGTGATGGCTCTGACCTGGTGGAATGCTCTCTCCCATAAGACCAGGGCCCTGCAGGATTTAACTTCCTTCTGCAGGGCCTGTAAGACAGAGCTATTCCGCCTGGCTTTCAATTTGAACTTAGCCTGATCTTTTATTCCCCTTCCGTCCCTCCCCCTCCCCTTTTTATGAAGATTACCCACTCTGGGATCCCACAGCTAATTCTCCCCTGGTCTCCTTGCTGGCCCGAATAGGACTAACTTAGCCAGCTAGTCCTGGTGATCATCCAATGTTTATTGGATGGATTTTCCAAATTGATTTTTGAATTCTGAATTTATTGTTATTCATGTTTTATACTGTATTTTATGCTCTTTTTTGTTGCATCAATTAAGTGTTTTAAATTTGTTGTTAGCCGCCCTGAGCCCGGTTTCTGAACCGGGAAGGGCGGGGTATAAATAAAAAATTATTATTTATTATTATTAACTGGCCACTGGCAAGACAAAAATGAAACTGATCCCTGTCCTCTCCCCCACAAACCCAAGGCACTTTTCCCCATTAATTTTTCACTTCTGCATCCAGACATTCGCTGTCTCATGTTCCCTAGCCTTTTGCCCCAAATAAAGCGAAACCCACCCACAATATAGTCAGTTCTCCATTTTCCACCCAGACACTCTCCAGCCTGGATACGTACTTGTCATGTGAATACCAGTTCAACAGGCAGATTTAACAACTCTACATCTAGCCCCCCCAACAAGGAAAAATGCTGTACTCTCCACGCAGAAATATCTCCATAATCTCCCGACTTGCGCAAGTCTCTCTTCCCCAAAGATCCCTTTTCTTGAGGGCAGCAGGTCCCCTTTGATCCTGCCCAAGCGCTGTCGATGAACACGATGTGCCCCAAAAGCTTAGCCTAGTCTGTTATGTACTGAAGTTCTCACCCTGGGCCAGCAGGGGGCTACTGTAGATCGCTTTCACTCAGGTCCACATATGCAAATAAGGAATTGAAAGTGACGTTCAGTGATTGGATAGTTACAGAAAGTTGTTACTGTTGCTTTGTAGTTGAGCTCTATATAAGCAGGTTGGCTGAACCCTTCAGTCCAGTTCTGTTCTGGGCCTGTGAATAAACAAGAGCTGTCTGAAGAATAGCTGTGTCGTCTGATATGTTCACCCACTACTTAACATAGTCGTCTTTGCCAAGCTCTGCAGAAGGGCACAGAGAGGGGTGACCAAGACAGGGAGTTGGGCACTGTGGGTGCAGCAGCAAACAGCATCTTGGGTTTCCTATCACTGCTGCCACAAGATTGCTGTGAAAAACCTGGGGGAAAGGAGTGGGACTGCGAAGAGGGCAGAGAAACTACTGGGCCGGTTAGAAAGGATTCAAGGGCCAGATCCAGCCCATGGGTCACCAGCTTCCCATCCCTCTTGGAAGAATCTATTCTCTTTATAAATATTGTTGCACAGCATCCCATTCTATAAGCAGCAAAGATTCCAGGGGTCCAGGCAGTTACCCAGGGTTTGCGATTGGAGACTGTGATTCCTTTATGATATATGGTTTATTTACACATATATAGACAGCATCTTAAAAAGCAGAGACATCACCTTGCCGACAAAGGTCAGTATAGTTAAAGCTATGGTTTTCCCAGTAGTGATGTATGGAAGTGAGAGCTGGACCATAATGAAGGCTGATTGCCGAAGAATTGATGCTTTTGAATTATGGTGCTGGAAGAGACTCTTGAGAGTCCCATGGACTGCAAGAAGATCAAACCTCTCCATTCTGAAGGAAATCAGCCCTGAGTGCTCACTGGAAGGACAGATCCTGAAGCTGAGGCTCCAGTCCTTTGGCCACCTCAGGAGAAGAGGAGACTCCCTGGAAAAGACCCTGATGTTGGGAAAGATGGAGGGCACAAGGAGAAGGGGACGACAGAGGACGAGATGGTTGGACAATGTTCTTGAAGCTACCAGCATGAGTCTGACCAAAAAGCGGGAGCCAGTGGAAGACAGGAGTGCCTGGCGTGCTCTGGTCCATGGGGTCACGAAGATTTGGACACGACTAAACGACTAAACAACAACAACAACATGCAGCCTGAGCCTGAGCCTGTGATGGAGGAGCTTACAGCATTGACACCCCAATATGTTCTTCTTTTCCCCCTAGCCACAGCAGTCTTGGAGCCAAAAAGACACCAGCCATGGCTAGGCCTCCCTCCAGCTTGCTGAGTTTCACAGACTGCAGCTGTTTTCCTCCAGCTCACAGCATCCCCAATAGCAAACCCTAAACTCTCCAATCAGCTTTTTCTCTGCTAATCATCCTAAAGTGGAGTGAGGAGCACAGAGTCTTGCCTGATGGCCCATTAGCTTCCCTTTGCCTTTGATTAATGGCTGCCCTCCCAGGCGAGTTCCTGAACACGTGAAGCCAGTTTGGCCGGTATTTTAATGATTTGCTAAATCCAGTGTCTGGCAGCCTTATTAACACTCCAAAAATTGATTAAATTCTAACACCTATCAGACCCAGGAATCCCGTTGCTCGCTCCCAGCTCCTGCCCACCTAGCAGTTCAAAAGCACGTCAAAGTGCAAGTAGAAAAATAGGTATCACTCCGGCAAGAAGGTAAACGGCATTTCCGTGTGCTGCTCTGGTTTCGCCAGAAGGGGCTTAGTCATGCTGGCCACATGACCCAGAAAAACTGCCTGCGGACAAATGCCGGCTCCATTGGCCAGTAAAGTGAGATAAACACTGCAACCCCAAAGTTGTTCGCGACTGGACTTAACTGTCAGGACCCCTGGATGGTTAAGTCCAGTCAAAGGCGACTATGGGGTTGCAGCGCTCATCTCGCTTTCACCAAGGGAGCCGGTGTTTGTCAACAGACAGCTTTCTGGGTCATGTGGCCAGCATGACTAAACCACTTCTAGTGGAATGGGACACCATGATGGAAACCAGAGCGCACAGAAACATCATTTACCTTCCTGCCACAGCGGTACCTACTTGCACTGGCGTGCTTTCAAACTGCTAGGTTGGCAAGAGCTGGGACAGAGCAACGAGAGCTCACTCCGTTGCGGGGATTCGAACCACTGACCTTCCAATCAGCAAGCCCAAGAGGCTCAGTGATTTAGACCACTGCACCACTGGCATCCCTTATCATGCTAGTACAAGTGTAGTGGTGGGAAGGCAGATTGAGCCTGCACCCAACAGCAAAGTAATCTGCGGAGGAAGTGCACCAAGTTTAATGGCGATCAATCAACCCAATGAAAATAGTTGTAGCAGTCAAGGCAGTGGAAGGTTCAGGTGCTGACCAATTGCCTGGTCAAAACATTTAACTATTACACTTCTCTTGGGAACCATTGTTCTGGGAGTGGGGTAGTAACCATCAGTGGGAATTATGCTGGAGCTCACCAACCCCACTTCAAAGACCTACAGTTCTCAAAAGAAAAGAGTCTGTAATGTGACTATATTACCCCTTGCGTTCCATTTAACTGCATGCCTTGCAATGTCAACATGCTCCTTGCAGTTACTGCAATGCATAGAGAAAGACCTTTCTATTAAATAAGAATTCTTTTGGAATGTTTGCTTGGCAGATAATGATGTTGTTATCCTGAGAGTGAACAGAAGCCGTCTTCAGAATCCACAGCAGCGGCCCAGAGGAACTGAAATCCAGTCTTTGCAGAAGGCTCCAGCACACATGACATTTAAAAATGGGCTATCACATTCTCAGTACCTGTCAAGTAATGCAACGTGACAGATGAATCCGGTTCCTGGTGCACTGCATCAGCGCAAAAAGAGGGAGAGTTTCTCCCAATAAATCCAGATTTGTTGCACTTCCTGTCTTGGGGACAAACTTTTAAATTCTCATTTGTGCCTAACAATGCATTCTAATAGGCTCTAGAGAGTCTTGATCTCAGCAGTGTGCTGTTGCACACCCTTAATCACAAGTTGCACGCAAACACGCACATGCATTCCACTGTACAGACGCATGTAATAATATATTTAGCTCAGAGTCAAAGGGTATCACAGGGACGCAGGTGGCGTTGTGGGTTAAACCACAGAGCCTAGGGCTTGCCGATCAGAAGGTCGGCGGTTCAAATCCCTGTGACGGGGTGAGCTCCGGTGGCTCGGTCCCTGCTCCTGCCAACCTAGCAGTTCGAAAGCACCTCAAAGTGCAAGTAGATCAATAGGTACCGCTCTGGCGGGAAGGTAAACAGCGTTTCTGTGCGCTGCTCTGGTTCGCTAGCAGCGGCTTAGTCATGCTGGCCACATGACCCAGAAGCTGTACGCCTGCTCCCTCGGCCAATAAAGCGAGATGAGCGCCGCAACCCCAGAGTCGGTCACAACTGGACCTAATGGTCAGGGGTCCCTTTACCTTTACCTAAAGGGTATCACACGGAGATTCCACACATACAGTGCTGGATTTACATATAAGCTAAACAAGCTATAGCTTAGGGCCCCACTCTCTTGGGGGCCCCAAAAAAATTTAAAGAAAAAAAAACTGGTTGTACATTTCCAAAATATAAGATAAAAAAACAAATAAAATAAAACATACTTACAGCAATAGTGTTTTGTGTTGTGTAGGCTCCTATTCGTTATGTGCAAATGGCTTTAGATACCTGTTAGGTCCATAAATTACCATATTCAACACAATAAACAGTGACAATTTGTTGCTGACAAAGGACAGCTGGACATATAGACATTACCTTCAGTAGCTTAAAGGTAAAGGTAAAGGGACCCCTGACCATTAGGTCCAGTCGTGACTTACGGCCTTATCAAACCTAAATCCTGCATATATGTGGGGGTAACTGGGTAATTAGCACCCAAGTAAAGGCAATAGACCAGAGCTTGTAATAAAAGAACATACAGGTTGCTGTTTGTTTGTTTTTACACACAGGCTGTTATAGAATAAAAAAGGGTTGGTTAAATAAACAGCACCCAAGTCAGGATGGCAGCTTGGTTATACCTGTGGCAGTGTGAGATAGGCTGGGCTACTTTCATTTCAAACAACTTCCAAAACGTTCGAAAACCAAGGAGCAAAGGGCAGTCTACAAAATCAACTGAGAAAATTGAAAAACCCGCAGCGGAAGCCGTCTGACTTCCGAGGAGTGTTCGAAAATGGAAGCATTTTGGCGTTTGGGTTCCAAAACGTTCGTCAACGGAGATGTCCGAGAACTGAGGTACCACTGTACTTAAATAACTGGCCAATCACATCGGTTCTGCCCCCCCCAACAAAAGTCCTGCCCCCTCAACCAAGTCCTGCCCCAAACAAAAGTTCTGGCTGCCCCCATGGCCACTTCCCAAATATGGAGGGAAAAGGGCAGTGAAAGAGGTAAGATAAGCAAGTAAAACTTAGTTTGTGTAAGAAGAGGAATTTGGTAAACAAGGCTAAACTCGGAAAGAGGCAGGAACAGGGAAGGTTGAAGAAGTTAAGAGAAGCACCAATATCACCTCTCCCAGAGAAGAAGGTCGGGCAGAGTCCAAAGATCATTCTTGGTACAAGCTTCCTGGAATTTCCCCACTTGGCTGATTGGCTGTTGCCATTTGGGTTTCGCCTGCAAATCGTCACAACTTGTGAAGGGTACAGCAAAGATATATCATAACTGTGACAATCTATGTTGGAAATGTAAAGAAAAGGAAGGAACCTTTTATCATATGTGGTGGACCTGTCCCAAGGTGAAAGACTTCCGGGAAAAGATTTATAATGAATTGAAAAAAATGTTGAAATATACATTTATAAAGAAACCAGAGGCCTTTCTTCTTGGAATAACAGGTTTGGAATTGCCCAAGAAAGATATTAAATTATTTTTGTATGCCACAACTGCTGCTCGTATTTTGTTAGCTAAAAAGTGGGAAACCCAAGAATTACCAACGATAGAATGGCAGATGAAGATGATGGATTTTTCGGAGCTAGCCAACCTAACCGGAAGAGTCCACGAGCAGAAGGAGGAGGAGTATCAGGAAGAATTGATTAACTTTAATGATTACTTAGTTAAATATGTTAAGTTTCATTAAATGAAAACAGCTTGCAGATACTGAATTGGGTTAGGATTTTATTTATGTTAAGTGATGAATTAATATGTTTAATTTCATAATGTGAAGATCTAAGGATGTTAATGTTTAAGTTAAATTTTATAAGAACTGTGATTTGGAAAACTGTTAAAAGGATATGCAATGAAATTCAACCAAGGGGAAGCAAGGAAGTCACTTAACAATGTTAATAAGTGTAATTTTCAATAAGGCTATGATTTATGTTTGTTTGTCTTATGTGTTTGTTTGTTTATAATGTGAAAACCAATAAAAAATTTTTTGGAAAAAATAACAACTTGTGAAGGGTATTCCATTAAAGGAATCCAGGGACTCAACTTGGTTTGGTCAACCCTTGAGAGGGAGTTGTGCCGGTGCCTGAGTCCAGGGGAGCATCTGGGGTGTGAACAGAGTCTGTTCCCGGGCTTTTCACCTGCCTCAGGTGTTCACCCTTGGCTGACCTATGATAAAGCTCTGGCTCAGCGCTTCCTGCAAGGGTGCAGGGAGCTAGTCGAACCAGAGCCTATGCAACCACCCACTTTCTGTAATCAATAAAGTTGTGGCCTAAATTCTGCCAAAAACCAAAACTAAAATTTGAGTCAAATGTGTGTTTATTTAGGGGGAAGGTCTCTGGGTCTGAACACACAAACAGATGAAAACACTAGCAGGATTGCAATAACACTTGTAATGTAGCAAGTCCTATGGAGATAACAGAGTTATATAAAACATGGACTATTGAAAAAGATGCAGCAGGAAAGGTTTGACAATAAGATTCATGGAGGGGAAGGTAGGAAGTCCAGAGATTCGGGAAATCTTTTAACTGTTGGTGTGTATGGTTGTATTGTTATGATTTTATATTTGTAAAATCAAATTAAAATTATTTCAATAAAACAAAATAAATTCTAGAAGCTGCAGCTATTGCAGAACATTGGTTCTAAGGTGGAGTACAACAACTGATCGTCCGGGAGCTGCACTGGTTTGTTATCTGCTACTGAATCTGATTTAAGGTTTTGGCTCCAGTGTATGAAGTTGCGTGTCGAGACCCCGAGATCACCCCCTCATTGATGAATAAGACACAAGGACACAGGTATTAGGTTAATGTTACTGGGCAAATTTAGGCCACAACTTTATTGGTTACAGAATGTGAGCGGTATTGGCTTAGGCACTGGAATTGATCTGACTATATCTGACTCCTGCCCGTCACGCAAGGAGTCCAGTAAGGGTCAACCACCGGTAGGGGGAGCCCCATCGATGCAAACCAACTCGAACTCCCCCAGGGTTCCCGACGCGGTTGTGTCATGGCCCTAGCCCCACCCTGGACTTTGGACAAGATCCACACCCCCAGATTCCTTTAATGGAATACCCTTAAGCTTGGAGGGGCAGGTGATGGCCGCACCTTCCCTCCCCCATCATAAGATCAACCAATGCCTAACTGCCAAACATTACAAGTGTTGAATAGTGGGTAGACATAGCAGACGACACAGCGATTCTTCCAAAGCAGCTCTTTATTTGTAAGCTGGACAGAACTGAACAGCAAACAGCTCAGCCGGCCTGCTTTTATAGGCAACCAGCTGTCAACAATGTAGCAACAACAACCCAGGGTTTCCCGCCTAAAATAACTGACGTGGACCTGAGTGAAAACTACATACACAATACTCCTGCTGGCCAGGGTGAGAACTTCAATACATAACACTCTCCCCACTGAGATAAGGCGTTAGTTACAATCGTAATGATTTCCTTATATACAGCACTACACGTAATGGTTCAATTAGGCACAAAAGCATATCGGTTACATTTCCCATACTTAGACCAAGAGTGATACATGTCCAACAACATAGTCCTTTAAATAAGTTGGGCGCTTGGAAACTCTGCCAGACCGCCGGGGACTGGTAGCCAAGTCCAGGGGGCCACACAATTCTTGCTGAGGCTGTGGTGCGACCCTAAGTGACGTTGAAACCAAATCCCCTGGATCTGCTGCTGTGGGTGAAGCCTCCGCAAGTGGAGTGGTCTGAGCCTGTGGTAAGTCTGGCAGACCCTCTGAAGTGGCTTGGTTCGGCTCCACGCTGGCAGTTTGCGAGGGAGGTGTAGGTGGAGCCTCGCCATCTGTAAGTGTCTCTTCTGGAGCCACGAGCGCAGTTGGGGGCACCACAGTAGTGTCCAAGTCCCCAACCCTGCGCCTAAGCTAGTTTATGTGCCAGCGCCACAAGCGTCCGTCTTCGAGTGCTACCTGGTACGAGCCAGCATGACTAAGCCGCTTCTGGCGAATCAAAGCAGCACACAGAAACGCCGTTTACCTTCCCACCGGAGTGGTACCTACTTATCTACTTGCACTTTGAGGTGCTTTCGAACTGCTAGGTGAGCAGGAACAGGGACCGAGCAACAGGAGCTCACTCCGTCACGGGGATTCGAACCGCCAACCTTCTGATTGGCAAGTCCTAGCCTCTATGGTTTAAACCACAGTGCCACCCACGTCCCACCAAGGTTGCGGTTAGGCATTGGTTAATTTTTGGTTGGTGGAGGGGATGTGGTTGGCTGTGCCTGCCCCTCCAATGCTGCTGCTGCAAGGATATTCCATTAAAGGAATCCAGGGGCTCATCATGCTTTTGTCCGAACCCCTGGCAAGGGGCTAGGGCACGCAAGAGCCCCTGGGAGCATTTGGGGAGAAGGGAGAGCCTGGCGCCCAGCTCTATTCTCTCCCCAAAAATGTTTACCCTTACTGACTTCCGCAGGGGTACGGTTGTCAGTTCTGTTCCTACCTCCAAGTGGGAACAGATAGTCGCTAACCAATGCCTAAGCAACCACTCACATACTGTAATTCAATAAAGTTGTGGCCAAAATTATGCCAAAAATCAAAACAAAAATGATGTGTGAACCGTGTTTTTATTCAGGGGTGTCTTGGGGGTCCTTGACACACAAGTAGAGGTTTTGCCAAGTGATGTCCTTATTTTTATCTGCTAAATGTCAGAATCGGAGCTATAAACCCACCTATAAAAGTGTGAAGACTGACAAAAAGAGTTGGGAGGGAGGGAGACACAGTAAAGAATGTTTGCACATAAGAAGAGGAAGAGCAGGTGATGAAGTCTATCACAGCCTCTCCAGCATATGTAAGCTTGATAAATGATTCCGGTTTCTCATAGTCCACAATTGCCTCAATTTTTATCCAAGCTTCGATGTTTCAACTACACATCACATGCAAGAGTGTGTAAGGAAAGCCCAGTGACCCATTTACGTACTTGCTGCAAAGAGGCGTTGGGAAGGGACAATTTGGAGAGGGAAAGCAAGGGGCAGGGCGATCGCTTAACTCTTCCAGCCCACCACTTCTTTTTTCATAACTAGCAAACTACTCGAATCATAACATGCAAATTATACTGACCTGAAATAGCCAGCTCATTCACAGGCTGCCACTGTTTATGCTCTGAAAGCATCCTCCGAGTTCCACATTTCTTTCGGTTTCATTGGGAACGGCGATGGGTCTTTCTCCCGTCGCACAGATGGAGTTTGGGCTTCATTTCAGACCTGCCCATTGGCTTCAGTCTAGACCATGCCTAGGCAACCTAAGGCCCAGGGGCCGGATGTGGCCCAATCGCCTTCTAAATCCAGCCCGCGGACAGTCCGGGAATCAGCATGTTTTTACAAAAATAAAATGTGTGCTTTTATTTAAAATGCATCTCTGGGTTATTTGTGGGGCATAGGAATTCGTTCGTTATTTTTTCTTCAAAATATAGTCCGGCTCCCCACAAGGTCTGAGGGACAGTGGACTGGCCCCCCGCTGAAAAAGTTTGCTGACCCCTGGTCTAGACTCACAGCCGTACAGTGGTACCTCTGGTTACGTACTTAATTCGTTCTGGAGGTCCGTTCTTAACCTGAAACTGTTCTTAACCTGAAGCACCACTGTTAAGTTGTGGGTGAACATATCAGATGACACAGCGATTCTTCAAACAGCTCTTGTTTATTCACAGGCCAGAACAGAACTGGACTGAAGGGTTCAGCCAGCCTGCTTATATAGTGTTCTACTAGAATGCAACAGTAACCACTTTCTGTAACTATCCAATCACTGAACGTCACTTTCAACCCCTTATTTGCATATGTGGACCTGAGTGAAAACTATCTATAGTTTCCCCCTGCTGGCCCAGGGTGAGAACTTCAGTACATAACAACCACTTTAGCTAATGGGGCCTCCCGTTGCCGCTGTGTGATTTCTGTTCTCATCCTGAAGCAAAGTTCTTAACCCGAGGTACTATTTCTGTGTTAGTGTAGTCTGTAACCTGAAGTGTATGCAACCTGAAGCGTATGTAACCTGAGGTACCACTGTATTTTGATTCGAGCTGCTGTGCCCCATGAAACCTCACCATTGCCTGTGTCCTGGAGACACTTAGGAAAGTATGTTACATAGTCCACTATCCCCTGGGGATCACCAGGTTGTAGGAACCTCAGTGTTAGAGCAGAACAAGGAGAGTTTCACGGCCAGATAGATTTATTGCTATTTTGCTAGAGAAAAAGAAGCCCCCGGAATTAATTCATGCCTCTGCCTTGTTGCACACCATCCCAATCTCTGAGCGGTGCAAGATCCCAGGGGTTTGAGGCACTTGGGTTTCCTCAGAATGAGGGACAGTGGAGACTGTGACGTCTTTAGGATACGTATACGATTTATTTGCCCATAACTACAACCTGAGTCTATTATGGAAGGGCTCACAGTAGTAACACACCAAGAAGGTCCCCCAATATAGTCTGGCCCCCCACAAGGTCTGAGGGACGGTGGACTGGCCCCCTGCTGAAAAAGTTTGCTGACCCCTCTAGCTGCTAAGGAATGTCACGTTCAAACAGGAGGAGAAAAGGCCTTAAAGGAAAACACTAAGCAAGTCGTCATCATGCGAAAACACCTAGGGCAGAATCCAACACTGCCTGAGAGAGAAAGGCGAAGTCCTGTTCCGCAAGCAGAAGCCTATTCTGCACGTTCAACAACAGCACTGGATACAACCTACCCAGTTTTAGGACTGGCAACTTCTATGTACTGGTCCTGTTCTTGTGCCTTGAACGGAAACCTGACACGCAGAAATTCAGTAAGCGCAGCTTTTCCTGCCGTTTTAGGCACAGAAAAGCCTTACCTGTTGAATCTCTGCGCGTGCCGGTCTGCTGATAAGAGTACAGGAACAGTACAAAGACACGGCGGAGTCGATGGGACTTATTTCCCAGGGTCGACGGCAGCTAGTTTTTGCAGCCAAGGGAAGAGCGCGATGAAATCCTGAAGCACTGCACGAGCTGAACAACAGGGAACACGGCCCTTTCTCAATCGCAATTCATGTCCCAGAGTAACATTGGGAGCAAGCAGCCTTGCAAAATGTTTTATTTGTATTTAAGCAAATAGCAGAATGCTCCGTCCAGCACTTCTGTGCCTCTAACAAATATGCCTACATGTGTAAAAAGAATTAGGGAACGTGCATCTATTGTACCCAGAAGGACAGGGCACAATGGCTGTAGCTCCCACCAGCTGAGGGTCAAACTTGGAGGAAGGTGATGAAAAGAGGAGGGACAGGGCAGGAGGTATAGCTCAGCATACCACCTGACTCCATGCCAATATAACTGAATGAATGAATGAATGTTTTTTAATGTTGTATTTTAATCTTGTTTTTTAAGCTGTATTTCAATCAACTTGTTTTTTATTGGTTGTTGGCCACCCTAAGCCTGGTCTTGGCTGGGGAAGCCGGGGTACAAATTTTATTATTATTATTATTATTATTATTATTATTATTATTATTATTGCCAAACAGCCAGCAGCTATCTGAAACTACCAGACATTTATTTCCAAAACTCCCAATCACCAGACTATTTGAGTGTCAAATGACCCATATTTTAATTTCATTTCCGAAGACATAGTGGCAGGTGGGTTTGACCCAGCCAGAACCAAACGTTGCATGCAACTTACCCGCTCTCTTTCAAGCAGGACACCCATGCATTTCAAAACTGAATGAGAAGCAGGAATTTAGCAAAGGAAGCTTCTCACTGTATTTACACTCCAAGAGGAGTTTTACATGCAGAATTTCCTGTATCTGCTAACATTACAGGAAACCCCGACAAGGAGAAAAGGTTGGCAACTCTATTAGACCAATATTATCCATCACGGGATACACAAATGTATTTTTTGAGTGGTGTGGGGGCACAGAATTACTACTGAACAGTTGCTGGTCCTGTATTATTCTACCTCTTTTACCTTTTAGTCACCCTGTGATCAGATTAATTCCGCCCCCCCATTATCACCCCACAGCCAATAGTATGGGTGAACTTCAGGATAGAAGACTTCTGCTGAAATCTTTTGCCTGACTCTGCCATCACCTGCAGTACTTTGGCTTCTCTGTGCCTCGCACAATATCCCCAACTCCTGTTAACGGAGAACATCCATTTAATGAGTATCTTACAATGTTTTTCCCCCTGGAGGTACTCAATGGTAATAAATTATTATTATTATTATTATTATTATTATTATTATTATTTACTTACAGTATACCTCGGCTATCTGGCTGGGCCTCCCCAGCCACTCTGGGTGGCTTCCAACAGGATATTAAAAACACAATGAAACATCAAACATTAAAAACTTCCCTAAACAAGGCTGCCTTCAAATGTCTTCTTAAAGTCAGATACAGTGGACGCTCAGGTTGCGAACGTGATCCGTGAGGGAGGCACATTCGCAGCACTGCATTTGTGCAAGCGTGGGTCGCAATTCAGTGCTTCTGCGCATGCGCAAAGTGCGATTTAGCGCTTCTGCGCAAGTGTCGAAACCCAGAAGTAACCCGTTCCGGTACTTCCAGATTCGGCGTGGTGCGCAACCCAAAAACACACAACTGGAAGCGTCTGTAACCCGAGGTATGACTGTCCTTGTTTATTTCCTTGACATCTGGTGGGAGGATGTTCCACAGGGCGGGTGCCACTACAGAGAAGGCCCTCTGTCTGGTACGCAGTACCAGCACAGTTTTTTCTGGAAGAAAAGCACTGAGTATCTAACATTTTATGAAGCACATGCTCCTCCAAACAGCCATCTAAGGCAGGTCATTAGCATTCTCAATGGAGACATCATCAGGGCCCCAGACAGGATGGAGATGAGCTAAAAGTCACCTTACTAAGCTGCTTAAGGATCCCTTGAAAGGCACTCCTGCCACTGCTCCAGGCCTCCCTGCCCTCTGGTCCCCATAAAACCCAAATGTAAATGCAATGAGCGGTATGTGACATCACTGCTTTGTCACCTCATTTGTTGACTGGGGGAAACACACGGCACAATGATGCCTTGCCATGCATTGGGCTGTATCCAAGGCAGCGCTAAGTAACATGCTCTGTCGGCCCAAGGATTTCAATTTGCGCAGTCGAACTCTCCCCCTTTTCCCTCTCCCTGCACACCACCTAAATCAGTTCTGGGGTTTCCCAGAACCCTTTGGAGCATATTTTGGGACTGCACGGGGATGTGAGAGGTGGGAAAGTTCTGTTGCTCATGCAGGAATCCTCGCACGGACAGAACGGATCGGATACAACCCTATGCATGACAGAACATGTTAGCTGAATATCGCCTAGTAAGTTTGATCGCATTTTAAGAGGAAAGAGAGGCAGAGACCATGGTGGAGATGGCTTGGACTACTGCAATGCGCTCTACATGGGGCTACCTTTGAAGGTGACCCGGAAACTACAACTAATCCAGAACGCGGCAGCTAGACTGGTGACTGGGAGCGGCCGCCAAGACCATATAACACCAGTCTTTAAAGACCTACATTGGCTCCCAGTACGTTTCCGAGCACAATTCAAAGTGTTGGTGCTGACCTTTAAAGCCCTAAACAGCCTCGGTCCAGTATACCTGAAGGAACGTCTCCACCCCCATCGTTCTACCCAGACACTGAGGTCCAGCACCGAGGGCCTTCTGGCGGTTCCCTCACTGCGAGAAGCCAAGTTACAGGGAACCAGGCAGAGGGCCTTCTCGGTAGTGGCTGCCTCCCTGTGGAACACCCTCCCACCAGATGTCAAAGAGAACAACAACTACCAGACTTTTAGAAGACATCTGAAGGCAGCCCTCTTTAGGGAAGCTTTTAATGTTTGATGTATTACAGTATTTTAATATTTTGTTGGAAGCCGCCCAGAGTGGCTGGGGAAGCCCAGCCAGATGGGCAGGGTATAAATATATTATTATTATTATTATTATTATTATTATTATTATTATTATGCAAGCCCACATCTCTCCTATTATCTGAGTAAGCCCATAGAAAGAAGACTGGGTCCAAAAATACTTTGGCGCTCTCTGTCTCTCTCTCTCCATATTATATTTAGTGCTCCACTATGTACTTCCTGTGGCAAGTAGGTCACATACAAATATAGCACCTTTACTTACCTCACTAAATCTAAAGGCAACAAATCCATGGTATGCTCTCTTACTTTGCCCAAAGTCTCAGGTCTAGTCCTCAATAAGGGGATAAATGTGTCCTTCGGCCAGCCAGGCTGCAGGTTTGGCGCTCGCAAGATTACGGGCTGCTCCATTTAACAATAACAGCAACTCTGTACATAGAAAACTAGGCTTTTTGCCCTTCTCTTGCCACATGCTAGTTTTCTTTGCGAAGATAAGTTTTTGAGGGCTCCCGTATAAAAATCTGAGGCAGTACACTGGTTCACTATTTCCATGAGACGATTGTGGTTCTTGCAGGTGCCCACCCCCCAGTCTGAATTTGTTTAGCACGAAAGAAGCTAAGAGATGGCTTTTATTCGCCTGTTTCTGACAAGCAAGTATTTGGTAAAATCGCTGTAAGATGCCGCACCATCACTCTATCACACTGACTATTTGCATAACAAACTCACCATATACAAGCCAAAAGCTCTCGTCAAACTTTAAAGAAACCTCACAGAAACATCCCCACCCTCTAGGAATTCATTGCCTTCCCAGTTAGAAAGCAGCTTCTGATTTAACAATGCATAAATTTAATTCTCTTCTCTTCTGCTCCTCCCCCCCACCACTTCTGCATTTTTTTTTTCTGAGCCTAGGTTGTTCAATTGCTATTTGCATCAAAAACCAGAAATCTGAAACCATTCGTGAAATACTTACTCCCAAAGCCTGTGGGAAACTTAATGAAGTGTGGATAATTCCCGTACATGTTTAATCTTCAGTTCATCTCTTCATTGCAATGGCAAAGGGTGCTTCCAAGATCCTTAAAGTGTTCCGTTTTGCTTAGCAAACCTGAAACTCTCTCTGGCAATTCCAGGCGAGCTGCCTCCTCAAGTGGAGAAGAAATCGTGTAGAGAAGCTCTGCTTACCCTGAAGACAGTAGCTGGAAGAATCAGTCAGTTTTCAGCTGCTGTTCCTTTTCCATTCTGTTATGGGCAGGGCTTCTCTCTGTCTGTGTGTGTGTGTTCTCTGCAAACTTGCAGTGTGTTATATTGGTAGCTTAATCCATCAGCGACAAGACCAATCAATGCATCACAGCACTGGTATAGGTCACAAATCAAAAGCTGGGGGAATTAAATGGGGAAGGGGAGGGTGAGGGTATTATTTGAAGTATGTACTAATAAAAAAAAATCAATGCTGTGTGGAGTAATTAATTGAGGGGGCGACATATGGCTACACTTACAGGCAGCTGTTTCTGTGTTGATGTCAGAGAACAACTGTCATACAAAATTGGCAATATTTATCAGTTATGATTAAACCAAACTTTTCTTGATGCAATGCATTGTGTGAGTTCCACCTACGTAAGGGCTGCCGCCTTTATTTTGGCATGTTTTCCATGTCTTTAACACATGCCTGAAAGGCACAAATTGAACAAGAGAAGCCTTTCCTGTGCCATCTCCATTTTTTGGGAAAGGCAGACCTGTTGGAGGTGTTAATATACTGTTCAGGTGTTAAAAGTGCAGGAATCCTGTCCAGATAAAAAAAAAAGGGATTAAAGTGCTTCTGTGCATTTACATTAAAAAGTGTTACACGGAAATCTAAAATTTGGTAGAATGCAAACAAGGAAAATAGATTTTATTGGCCAGTTGTTCATGCATTTATGTTACAATTCTGAATTGGGCAAAATGGAAATGCAACTCATTTTCATCTAAAGAAAGAGTGCAATATTAGCTGCTAATATTTAGAAATCATTAAGCCTGCTGGCTGATGTATTGTAAATATTTGTAGTACAGTGGTACCTCGGGTTACATACTTAATTCGTTCCGGAGGTCTGTTCTTAACCTGAAACTGTTCTTAACCTGAAGCACCACTTTAGCTAATGGGGCCTCCTGCTGCTGCCGCACCGCTGGAGCACACTTTCTGTTCTCATCCTGAAGCAAAGTTCTTAACCCGAGGTAGTATTTCTGGGTTAGCGGAGTCTGTAACCTGAAGCGCATGTAACCTGAAGCGTATGTAACCCGAGGTACAACTGTATTAATGATCTATGCTTGAAGTGATTTAAAAACATTTGCATTTAGAAAGTTACCTTCTGCCATGTGGCAGAGATGTCGGTAACATCAAAGTTCTCAAGCAGGAGATCTCTACCTATGCTTTAAACATCTCAGGCACCAGGGCAGAATGTGATGGTTGTTCTTTGATTATCTGGCTCATCCTCTAGGGCAGGCATGTCCAAAGCCCGTTCTGGGGGCCTAATCTGTCCCACTGGTCAGTTTAATCCAGCCCCTGTGGCAGTTTATTTCCTGCAGTAAAATCCTAAAAAAACTTCAACAACTTCAACCCTGAAAAAAGCTCAACAACTTTGGTCAGCCCTCACGGCCCTTCACTTCATCAAATCTGACCCTCTTTGAAAAAAAGTTGTTTGGACACCACTGCTCTATGGCATGGGTAGGCAAACTAAGGCTCGGGGGGGCCGGATCCGGCACAATCGCCTTCTAAATTCGGCCCATCGACGGTCCGGGAATCAGCGTGTTTTTGTTGATTTAAAGCAGAGTCTGTCGTGCCCAGCGGAAGGATGAGGAATACGTGCTGCATACTCTATATTGCTTTATTTACAGTTCAAAGCTGGTATATTACAGAAAGACATCTTGCCTCTGCCGGAGCAGAAAAATGCATCCTCTCTCCTCGACAGCTCGGAGAGAATCACACAGTGAAAAACAGGAAACCAGTGTACGTCACATCCAGTCTCCCTTTCCCGTGAGAAACTCCAACAGTACAGACTGTGGAATGTAAACACCTGTCTCGTGACAAGCAGAGCTGCACAGTGAAGGAAAGCAGAAACCAACATCCTCCCCCTTTCTGTGAACATCACTGGGCAGCGTGTTTGTACAATATCAGTACAAACCCAACTTCTGCACATAGGTACAGTGTTGATCCCTTGATACAATCTTGGACAATACATCAGCAGGAATTTCATTACCTGGCATATAGGACACCGTTACGAGTCCCTTCTGAATACATTCCCTAGCATGCTGCAACTTTAATTGCAAGTGCTTTGTGCTTTGCTTACAACCTTCAGACTTCAGCAAAGCCAAACATGCTTTGTTGTCCTGGTAAACCTGGATTGGACATTTGACAGGAATTTTCATATCTTTGCACAATTGTACTAACCATTCACAATCCTTAAGTGAATAAGACAGTGCATTCAGTTCAGCTTCACAAGTACTTAAGCTAACTGTTGTTTGCTTCTTGCATGACCAATCAAACAGACTCTGATTGTACATGTAGCAAACTCCAGACGTACTTTTCCTGTCTGTAGCGTCACTTCCAAAACTTGCATCTGCAAATATCTCAAGACCACCAGACTTCTGATTGTTAAATCTCAGTCTGTAATGCATAGTGCCTTTCAAATACCGCGCTATGCGTTTCAGAGCTTTCAATCCTTGACACTAGGATTGTTGACTTGTCTGCTTAGCAAATTACAGCTAACAGCAATGTCTGGTCTTGAACATCTGGCAATGAAGTTTAGCTTGCCTAGCACACTCCTGTACAGTGTAGTGTCAGAAAATGCTTTTTCAGTGTCATCTACCTGATAACCTGTTGTCATCGGTGTGTTTACAGGGTTAGCATCTATCAGATTTAGTTTGCTTAACACATCAGCAATTTTCCGTGACTGGTGTACTAGAATGTTACCATCTTGATTTCTCTCTATTTCCAGAGATAGGTAGTTGTTTACCTCACCAAGATCTTTCATGTCAAAGTGCTCTTTCAGTTGAGCTAGGCGCTATTGTACATTGCAATATCTTTCCAAAAGAATAATAAATCATCAACATAAAACAAACAGTACAGTTTCTTTTGCCCCTCCTCTTTGACAAATACACATGGATCAGCTTTCCCTTGCTGAAAACCTAGAGAAAACAATACTTCAGTGAGTTTTGTGTGCCAACACCGTGCACTTTGTTTGAGACCATAAAGGGATTTCTTCAGAGCACAAACAAATCCCTGTTTTACCTGTACGCCATCAGGTGGAAGCATATAAAGTGATTCATCTAGAGATCCGTACAGAAAAGCTGTATTAATATCATGGTGACTAATGTGTAGATTTTCCTCTGCAGCTAGCTTAAGCATAAGCCTAATGCTTTCATATCTCACTGTGGGTGAATAGGTCTCGTGATAGTCTTCACCTGGTACCTGTGCAAAACCTCTGGCTACCAATCTGGCTTTGTGTCTGACTATCTTGCCATTTTGATCTGTCTTCGCTTTGAAGACCCATTTGCTTCCAAGCAGTTTCATTCCTGGAACTACTGGAACTAGCTCCCATGTTTTGTTCCTTTCTAAGGAATCAAGCTCAGCCTTCATGGCATTTAACCATGGCTCAGCTTCCTTCGAATCCAAACCCTGGATTTCTTGGAAACTTGAAGGTTCAAATACCTTCTTGGAGCTTTTAACAGCTGTTACTGCTATCGTAGCAAACTCATCAGCAAATCTCTTTGGAGGTTTGCCTTTTGTGGCTCTCTGTGACCTACGAATTAGCCTTAAGTCTTCAACACTCTCCTCTTCCTTCTTAGGAGAAAAACGACCTATTGTGAACAATGGTTCCTCCAATTCTTGATCAGAGCTTTCAGAGGGTCGCATAGAGGCTTTCGCACTCTTGAAATCCTCTGAATCACCCGATTCAGTTTCAGATTCAGACTCAGAACCTTCATCAGTGGGTGTGGGTTGTTGTGGTTGCTTTTGACTATCCTCAGTCTCATCACCGTCATCAGGATAACATTGGAAAATTCCCACATTCTCCCCCCACTTTGCATTGTACTCGACACTTCTCGTGAGCTTAATTGTCTTAGAGTCAGTCATCATTATTCTGTAAGACCCTTTCTGATAACCTAGAAAGATACCATGTAATCCACGCTTGTCTAACTTGGAGTTTTGTTGTGAGCGAACCCACATGTCAGAACCAAAAATCTTCATGTGTTTGATGTATGGCTTCTTGCCAAACATCTTCTCATAGGGGGTACAACCAATCGCTGAAGATAACCTGCGATTGTAACTGTAAACAAAACACGAGAGAGATTCGGCCCAATAACTCTCTGGAAGATTGGCATCATGCAGCAAGGTTTTTACCCCTTGAAGCAATGTCTGATTTGCCCGTTCCGCAAGTCCATTCTGCCATGGCGAGCGAGGACTAGACAAATCGTGTTGAATTCCTTTCTCAGTCAGAAAAGCTTCAAACTGCTGAGAAGTGAATTCCCCCCCGCGATCACTGAAAAGAGTCTTTATCTTCTTACCATGCACATTTTCCAACCAAGCACAGAATTCCTTGAACCTAGGAAAAGCCTCCGATTTCTGCTTGATATTGTATACAAAAATATATCTAGAAAATGCATCAATGAGAACCATGAAGTATCTATTTCCACCCAAAGAGGGCGCTAGTGGTCCAACCAAATCAGCATGAACAACCTGGTATGGTTCTGTAGCTTTCCTACTAGACACCTTACCTTTCGCAGCCATTTTCACCTTGTTTGCTGCGCATGCTTTGCACTTCATGTGGTACCTGCAGGGTTTAATAGTCATACCTTCAACCAAGGCAGGCATTTTAGATACTGCCTCAAAATGCAAATGACCAAATTTTCGATGAAAATCGTGAATACATTCTGCATGCAAACTTTTGTTAGAACCTGCAACGCAACAAGTGTCATCCTGCACCACATCATCATAATACAAAACAAACAAATGATCAACATATTCTGCATGCAATACATAATCATTTTTCTTTGTGATGATGCACTTCTTGTTCTTGAAGGAAACGTCAATGTTCCGCTCATTCAGCTGTCCAACGCTGAGCAGATTATGTTTGGCGTCTGGCACGTAAAGCACATTCTGTATCGATAAGTCCAAACTGTGAAGAACAACAGTTCCGTAGCCTTTACTGGGAATAGTGTGGTCATCCGCCTGGTGAATCGCACCTTCCTGCGGTGTAAAGACACAAACAGTCTCTTATCGTTGCACATGTGGTGGGTGGCCGCTGAATCAACAACGAAGAAAGATCTAGACGTCTTCTGGACCTCTGCAACCTTTGGAGTGAAGCGTGAAACCATAGCCTTGTGCTGCGTTGTCCTAGACACCGGACCTTTGCCTTTGCCTCGGCCTTTTCCGCGCGATGAGCTTTCGCTGCGCTGCTCTGTCTTGGCCCTGGGATGTCTGCATTCCCTCTTCATATGGCCTAGACGTCCACACGAGTAGCATTTCACTGCCTTCAAAGCTTTGGCGCCATCTGGTGGTTCCACTGCACTATGGGATGACGTCTGTGAAGACTCCCCTTGCCCATGCAGCTAGCACCCCGGCGATCTGCTTCATTTAAAATCACGGCAGTAACAAAGTCCACTGTCAGCTGAGCAGTTGGTTGCACAGCAATCTGGGTTGCAACAGACTCCCAACCTGAACCCAAAGATTGTAGTATCATGAAAGAATACACAGCCTCTGGAAAGTTGAGTCCTCTCTGTTGCAGCTCATGTCTCAGATTTTGCATCTCCATCAGATGTAAACGCACATCTCCACCTTCAGCAAGAGCCATATTATGCAGCTTGTTAAAGTAAAACATAGTGGATCCAGCTTCTGTCCTTAAGTGAGCCTCTCTCAAAGCGTCCCAAATTTCTCTGGCTGAGGTCTTATCACGCAATAGACAGAGCTCTTCTGGGGATACTATCAATGTAAGAGTTCCCCTTGCTTTGGAATCCTTAGCTTCCCATGCATCTGTAACTGGAACTGGGGGGGGTTCCTGTAATCACCTCAAACAAACCCTCTTTCCGCAGAATTGCCTCTGCATACTGAACCCAGTCGGCATAATTTTTCTTGTTGAGCTTAGGAATCCCACAAGCATCCTGAAGGGCCATCATGACTCTGGCATTAGCCTTCAGCGTCATATGCTGCTTTAAATCTTGCTGCGTCACTGCTGCAGCTGCTTCATTACAAAAGCGCACTTAAAAGTTACTTCGATTTCCCCAGCATAGTGACTTGTGCCTGGGAGCCTTTTGCCTATTCCCGGCAAAACCGGTTTTAAAAGTTCAAAGTCCAGCCATAAAGCCATTAACTTGAAGCTGGCAGGCTGCCCGGAGCAGTAGCACATACCTCATCAATCACCTCTACGCGCAGAGCAGATTCCGTTCCGATCTGTCCCTCTGCATTCCGATCCTTTGCCGGCACTCCGATTCGACTTCTGGAGCCCATAACCACGTGTTGATTTAAAGCAGAGTCTGTCGTGCCCAGCGGAAGGATGAGGAATACGTGCTGCATACTCTATATTGCTTTATTTACAGTTCAAAGCTGGTATATTACAGAAAGACATCTTGCCTCTGCCGGAGCAGAAAAATGCATCCTCTCTCCTCGACAGCTCGGAGAGAATCACACAGTGAAAAAACAGGAAACCAGTGTACGTCACATCCAGTCTCCCTTTCCCGTGAGAAACTCCAACAGTACAGACTGTGGAATGTAAACACCTGTCTCGTGACAAGCAGAGCTGCACAGTGAAGGAAAGCAGAAACCAACAGTTTTGACATGAGTAGAATGTGTGCTTCTATTTAAAGTGCATCTCTGAGTTATTTGTGGGGCATAGGAATTCGTTCATTTTATTTTTTCAAAATATAGTCTGGCCCCCCCCCAAGGTCTGAGGGACAGTGAACCAGCCCCCTGCTGAAAAAGTTTGCTGACCCCTGCTCTAGGGCTACGGATTTGCCCCATGGGAGGCAGGAAAGGACCGGGGGGGGGATAAGGAACTGATAAAATAATGGGTCAAGAAATGTAGGTGCCATACCCTAACCTGTTGCTTCGAAAGCATAACACAGGGATCATTTGTCACGCCAAACTTGTCCTCCATCATCTAAAGGTTACAACAGCAAACAAATATCGCTTCAACAAATGATGTCATCTCTCATGCTGTGAAAAAAAGGACTTGCCCAGTTATCCTGCAGGAAAAGAGAAACCACCAGCACTCTGTGGTCCCTCCTCTTCTGAGTCAGTTGACCTGACTGCTGCTGAAGACCAGGGCAATTGCATGCTTATTCCTTGCAATTGTCCCAGGTGAAAGGACAGAACATAACCGCTGCAACTCCTGGCTAGCTCTCCCATTGGCTCCTTCCCTTATCTTCTCCTAACTTTTTTTTCTATTAACAATGCTATTGTCTGGTTGGTTGACATCCATCTGTTTTGGGAGACCACGGAAGAGTAACGCGTTCAGGGGTTAAGTCAAATAGTTGGAGAGTTACAAGTGTACAGAACAAGTTAATAACAAGTTTACAGAAATAACTTTCAAATGGTTATATATCAAGCAATATATTTTGGCTAACATCTAGGCAATTTAGGGACGCGGGTGGCGCTGTGGGTTAGACCACTGAGATGAGCGCCGCAACCCCAGAGTCGGCCACGACTGGACCTAATGGTCAGGGGTCCCTTTACCTTTACTTCATCTCAAGCCCTCCCACAATAAACCTTCTGGAGATAAAAACTTTATTTAAAAAAAAAACCTAAACATGTCACAAAGATAAATTATTATTAATGATACACTATAACAAACATAAAATAAATAATAACGACATTTAGAAACATCTGGGGGGGGGGAAGGCACTTCTTTGCCAAAATAACCAAGAAATTGTCTAATAATCCAAAAATCTACTTCTAATTTCAGCTGTAGTAATTTCAACTGTATGCATTTCTGAGGCCTCCAATAAACTCTCTGAATAATTTCAAACTATATTCATTGCAGTCTTATATCAAGACTTTCAGCAGCAGCAGTAATATTTACCTCCATTGATTAGGATGAATGACCTTATTAAAGTCCTTATTCCAAACCTCTATATTCTTCCCTAGAGGTTCCATGCTACCACCTATCAGAAATTTATAATAATTGAAACTGGGAGAAGTAGCTTCGAAATGTCCTGCAACAACAGACGCTGATGGAGTCTCCAAAACTGTGCAGTCCACATTTTGTTATCAGCAGGTCCCTACTGCCACCAGGCCAAGTTCAAAGTTCTTGGATTGATGTACTTAACAACTTTGGTGTAGGATACCAAAGGATTGCAGATTGTTATAGTTGCTGCAGGTGGAGTCTCTTATCTAGACCTTGTGCAAAGTAGATGTGAATTTCCTCCCCACCACAAGAATGAGTTTCAAAGCTTTGCTGGAAACAAGTCTTAAAATAGTTACAAATAAATGTTCCAAAATACAAAGTAACACATTGCTCTTAAACAAGCAACCAATGCAGTTCAGGCTTCTTTTTAGTCCTTAATACAGCTCAGTGCTGTTTTCTCTCTCTGGTACCAGACAGAGATCCTAAGCAACTTGCTTGATAAAGCACTGAGCTGAGCTCAATTGACTGACAAAGGCGCTGAGTTCTCAGGTTTCACCTTCCTGCTGTGAGAGATCCCTCAGGATTCCAGTGACAATGCAAACCTCTCTGCAAAGCGTTTTTTAAATACAGTGCATTCAAGCATAGCACTTTATGCATATTAAACTTACACCTTTGACTGATTTTAGCTTTTCTATCTCTTTTGTAACCTCATTGTAAGCCACTTAGAAACTAAGTTAAGTGTTGAATAAATTGTTGAAATAAGCAAATAATATAAGAAAAACTTGCGAGTAATGTAATTTTTCCTGATATGAGAAAGAACCCCATCTGCCAAAACTTAAAAGTTGCCCAGATAGTGCCATTATCATTCATATCCTCCAAAGATTGTATCCCAAATCAAAGAGGTATTTTTCCAACTAAAGTCTGCATATACGCCATACATTTAAAGCACATCCATCCATACCCAAAAACCCTGAAACTGTAGTTTGTTCAGGGTGCTGGGAATTGTAGCTTTGTGAAGGATGAACTAAAGTTCCCAAGATTCTTTATGGGAGCAGATTGTGCTTTAAAAATATGGTGCGTCTCACAATTTTCATAAAGGATCATAATTAGGAAAATACCTATATCCCATTCCTACCTGTATTCATATGTCCCTTTCAGCCTCAATTGTTGGAGCTCAGAGCCCTTTTTCTTTAAGATGGCAGGGGCAGGTAGTGCACAGGGTTTGCAAGCGAAAGGTTGCAGGTTCAATCCCGGTTAAAGTCTCTCGTTTAAGGTAAAAGGTAAAGGACTCCTGGACGGTTAAGTCCAGCGACACGCATCTCACTTTCAGGTCAAGGGAGTGGCGTTTGTCCACAGACAGCTTTCCGGGTCATGTGGCCAGCAGGACTAAACCACTTCTGGAGCAACAGAAACACCATGTCGGAAACCAGAGAGCATGGAAACACTGTTTACCTTCCCGCCACAGTGGTACCTATTTATCTACTTGCACTGGTGTGTTTTTGAACTGCTAGGTTGTCAGGAGCTGGGACAGAGCAACGGGAGCAGGGCTGGATTTAGGTTTGATGAGGCCCTAAGCTACTGAAGGTAATGGGGCCCTTTATATGTCCAGCTGTCCTTTGTCAACAACAAATTGTCACTGTTTGTTGAGCAAACCAGTGATATTTTAGGGAGCAGGCTAGCAGGCGGGGCCCATTATTTACATCATAGGCGCCTACACAACACAAAACACAGTTGCTGTATGTAGGTTTTATTTTATTTGTTTTTTATCTTATATTTTGGAAATGTACATCCAGGATTTTTTACCTTTAAATTTTTTTGCAGGCCTCCAAGAGAGTGGGGCCCTAAGCTATAGCTTGTTTAGCTTATATGTAAATCTGGCACTGAATGGGAGCAAAACCCCTTTTGGGGATTCGAACCGCTGACCTTCTGATCGGCAAGCCCAAGAGGCTCAGTGGTTTTATGCTCACCCAGTGAGCATAGCCAGTGCTGAACTAGATGGACCAGTGAACATCAGTTTCCTATGGTCATCGTCTTCCCATTTACTTGTTTGTGTCAAAACAAATTCTTCATTATAATCTCATAAACCTGGCACAGCCATCCCATCTTCCTTGACTACCAGTTGTAAATTGGCATAAACTATGCTATATCTTGGGATGCGGGTGGTGCTGTGGGTTAAACCACAGAGCCTAGGACTTGCCGATCAGAAGGTCGGCGGTTCGAATCCCCGCGACAGGGTGACCGTTGCTCGGTCCCTGCTCCTGCCAACCTAGCAGTTCGAAAGCACATCAAATTGCAAGTAGATAAATAGGTACTGCTCCGGCAGGAAGGTAAACGGCGTTTCCGTGCGCTGCTCTGGTTTGCCAGAAGCGGTTTAGTCATGCTGGCCACATGACCCGGAAGCTGTACGCCGGCTCCCTTGACCAATAAAGCGAGATGAGCGCCGCAACCCCAGAGTCGGCCACGACTGGACCTAATGGTCAGGGGTCCCTTTACCTATTCTATATCTTACAGTAGTCTGAGAGAGAGAGAGAGAGAGAGAGAGAGAGAACAGGAAAAGGAGAGAGAAAATGGTTGAAACCGCTCTTTTGACCTATAAGCATATAGACTCCCCAAAATCATTTCGGCATCAGTAAGGCATTGCTTCATGTTGTTTCTTATTACTTTTTTTTTTTTAAAGGAAGCCTGGTGAGAATTTGGACTTTTTACATTTCACCCTTAATTTAACTGCGTGAGTGCTCTGCAGCATGTGACCCGTGTTCATCCAACTGGGTTTCCAGGTGTTAAGACCATTAGACAAGGACTTTAGTACAGGACCTGAGGGATAGTGTTTGGGCGGGCAGTGAGTGGGTGCAATTTAGACAGGCACGGAGTCTGGAGGAGGTGGAACCAAGAGCACAAGCCGAAGCCCAACAGTATTGCATGATTCGAATGCTCTTTTGGTTCACCTCTTTGGGAGTGTGGTGCTGCAAAGGGGATGGGCTGTCAAGGAAAACAGCTTGCCTCTTGCTGACAAGAGATTTTATTCCTTGACCTGCAGACTCTAAATATGTAGAGTGTCTAACCAAGGTCCTTGCTCACATGCAAGAACTCTGCATGCATATACAGTGGTACCTCGGGTTACATACGCTTCAGGTTACATACGCTTCAGGTTACAGACTCCGCTAACCCAGAAATAGTGCTTCAGATTAAGAACTTTGCTTCAGGGTGAGAACAGAAATTGTGCTCCGGTGGCACGGCAGCAGCAGGAGGCCCCAATAGCTAAAGTGGTGCTTCAGGTTAAGTACAGTTTCAGGTTAAGTACGGACCTCTGGAACGAATTAAGTACTTAACCTGAGGTACCACTGTATAGCCTCACCGATGTGGGGATACAGGGCACAGCCCGTAAATGGCTGTGCTCTTTTATCTCTGGTCGGCGACAGAGGGTGGCGCTAGGGAGGGAGATGTCATCGCGCCACTCCTTGGTGTGTGGAGTGCCGCAGGGCACAATCCTCTCCCTGATGCTTTTTAACATCTTTGTGCAGCCCCTTGCCCAGATTGTCCGGAGCTTTGGGCTGGGTTGTCACCAATATGCTGATGACACTCAGCTCTATCTGCTGATGGATGGCCACACCGACTCGGCCCCGAACACACTGACCAGATGCTTGGAAGCTGTGGCTGGATGGTTTCGTGGGAGCCAATTGAAACTTAATCCTTCAAAGACAGGTCTTCTGGCTAGGTCGGGATGGCATGGGGATGAGGGACCAACTCCCTTCTCTTGCGGGGGCCCAATTAGTGCCATTGCCTTCCGTTAAGAGTTTGGGTGTAATCCTTGACGCCTCCCTTTCCGTGGAGGCGCAGGTTGCAGCAACAACTAAGGCAACGTGTTTCCATCTTCACCACATTAAGCAGTTGGTCCCTTACCTTTCCCGCCCCAATCTGGCCACAGTGAGCCATGTGACACTCACCTCCAGGCTTGACTACTGTAATTCACTCTACGCGGGGCTGCCCTTGAAACTGTCCCACAAACTCCAGCGCATGCAGAATGCTGCAGCGAGGCTCCTCACAGGGTCCCTGTCATGGGAGCATATTCACCAAGTGCTTTACCAATTGCACTGGCTCCCAGTGGGGTATAGGGTCAGGTTCAAGGTGTTGATTTTGACCTTTAAAGCCCTTTCTGGCTTAGGGGGACCACCTCTCCTGGTATGCCCCGCAGAGGACCTTAAGGTCCATGAATAATATAGTTTAGAGGTCCTGGGCCCTAAGGAAGTCAGACTATCCTCCACCAGGGCCAGGGCCTTTTCAGTGATGGCTCCAACTTGGTGGAATGATCTGTCCCATGAGACTAGGGCCCTTCAGGATTTAACCTCTTTCCGTCGGGCCTGTAAGACAGAGCTATTCCGCCTGGCCTTTAATTTGAATTCCGCCTGATCTTTTATTTCCCTTCTCTTCCCTCCCCCTCCCTTTTTAGGAAGATTGCCCGCTCTGAGACCTCACATCTAATTCTCCCCTGGCCTCCTCATTGGCCCAAGTAGGACTAATTCAGCCAGCTAGCCCTGGTGACTACCTAATGCTTACTGGATGGATTTTCCCCAAACTGGTTTTTGAACTTTGAATTTTATTGTTATTCGTGTTTTTATACTGTATTTTATGCTGCTTTTATGTTGTATTACAATTCAGTGTTTTAAATTTGTTGTTAGCCGCCCCGAGCCCGGTTTCTGAACCGGGGAGGGCGGGGTATAAATAAAAAATTATTATGATTATTTATTATAGGCAAACTCGGCCCTCCAGATGTTTTTGGGACTACAACTCCCATCATCCCTAGCTAACAGGACCAGTGGTCAGGGATGATGGGAACTGTAGTCCCAAAACACCCAAAGGACCAAGTTTGCCTATGCCCAAGCACCAAATGCACGGCTGCATCTTCCTACTTCCTCATCACTTGTTTGCTGAATTTATTGTGGGGGGGGGGAGGGGAGGGGTCAGCTGCATAGAGCTTATATAAATTGGGCAGTCCAACCTAGATCAACAATGTCCTGTTCGCTCTGTGTGTGAGTGTGTAGGGCACTAAGCAGATGCTAACCTAGATTCATTTAAAAAAAAACAAAAAGGAAGCCCAGTGTAATCCACTTACTTCCTTGACACATCAGCCTCTTTAAGGCGTTCGGATTTGCTCTCCATCCAGAAAGGCTGGCTGCACCAGATCAAATATGATTGATAATTATTCAACACACTCCTCTCCATGAAGTTACTCCAACTCCACGACATCTCAAATGCTGCAGAAATCAGTCACTTATTACATTTCAAGTCAAAACCATTCAGTTTTATTCACCTGACTAAAGACTGGTCACCTAAAATGAACTAGATCCACAATCTGTGGGCTTCTATGTCCAATGCAGGGACGTGGGTGGTGCTGTGGGTTAAACCACAGAGCCTAGGGCTTGCCGATCAGAAGGTCGGCGGTTCCAATCCCCGCGATGGGGTGAGCTCCCGTTGCTAGGTCCCTGCTCCTGCCAACCTAGCAGTTTGAAAGCACATCAAAGTGCAAGTGGATAAATAGGTACCACTCCGGTGGGAAGGTAAACGGCGTTTCCGTGCGCTGCTCTGGTTCGCCAGAAGCGGCTTAGTCATGCTGGCATCATGACCCAGAAGCTGTACACTGGCTCCTTCAGCCAATAAAGCGAGATGAGTGCCGCAACCCCAGAGTCGGTATGGGGTTTCAAATCTAGTATGCAGTGTAAGAGTCCAATAAGAAAAATGGGTCAAGTAGATGTTATTTGGGGTTGTACAGTATGCCTCGAACCCCACACACCCCACACACTCCCATTTACTCCATATCTAGTGAAGTCCCACCACAGTTTGGGATGTGTTGTTGTTTATACCCTGCCCACTCTGGGTGGCTCCCAACAGAATATTAAAAGCTCAATAAAACATCAAACATTAAAAACTTCCCTAAACAGAGCTGCCTTCAGATGTCTTCTAAATGCCAGATAGTTGTTTATTTCCTTGACATCGGATGGAAGGGCTTTCAACAGGACGGGCGCCACTACCCTGAAGGCCCTCTGCTTGGTTCCCTGTAACCTCACTTCTCACAGTAACCTCACTTCTCACAGTGAGGGAACTGCCAGAAGGCCCTTGGAGCTGGACCTCAGTGGGGTGGAGACGCTCCTTCAGCTATACAGTGGTACCTCGCGTTAAGAACTTAATTCGTTCTGGAGGTCCGTTCTTAACCTGAAACTGTTCTTAACCTGAGGTACCACTTTAGCTAATGGGGCCTCCCGCTGCCGTCGTGCCACCACTGCATGAATTCTGTTCTCATCCTGAAGTAAAGTTCTTAACCCGAGGTACTATTTCTGGGTTAGCGGAGTAGAATCATAGAATCATAGAGCTGGAAGAGACCACAAGGGCCATCGAGTCCAACCCCCTGCCAAGCAGGAAACACCATCAGAGCACTCCTGACATATGGTTGTCAAGCCTCTGCTTAAAGACCTCCAAAGAAGGAGACTCCACCACACTCCTTGGCAGCAAATTCCACTGTCGAACAGCTCTTACTGTCAGGAAGTTCTTCCTAATGTTTAGGTGGAATCTTCTTTCTTGTAGTTTGGATCCATTGCTCCGTGTCCGCTTCTCTGGAGCAGCAGAAAACAACCTTTCTCCCTCCTCTATGTGACATCCTTTATATATTTGAACATGGCTATCATATCACCCCTTAACCTCCTCTTCTCCAGGCTAAACATGCCCAGCTCCCTTAGCCGTTCCTCATAAGGCATCGTTTCCAGGCCTTTGACCATTTTGGTTGCCCTCCTCTGGACACGTTCCAGTTTGTCAGTGTCCTTCTTGAACTGTGGTGCCCAGAACTGGACACAGTACTCCAGGTGAGGTCTGACCAGAGCAGAATACAGTGGCACTATTACTTCCCTTGATCTAGATGCTATACTCCTATTGATGCAGCCCAGAATTGCATTGGCTTTTTAGCTGCCGCGTCACACTGTTGGCTCATGTCAAGTTTGTGGTCAACCAAGACTCCTAGATCCTTTTCACATGTACTGCTCTCAAGCCAGGTGTCCCCCATCTTGTATTTGTGCCTCTCATTTTTTTTGCCCAAGTGCAATACTTTACATTTCTCCCTGTTAAAATTCATCTTGTTTGTTTTGGCCCAGTTCTCTAATCTGTCAAGGTCGTTTTGAAGTGTGATCCTGTCCTCTGGGGTGTTAGCCACCCCTCCCAGTTTGGTGTCATCTGCAAATTTGATCAGGATGCCCTTGAGTCCATCATCCAAGTCGTTGATAAAGATGTTGAATAAGACCGGGCCCAAGACAGAACCCTGTGGCACCCCACTAGTCACTCTTCTCCAGGATGAAGAGGAACCATTGATGAGCACCAAAAATGAGTAACCTGAAGCGTCTGTAACCCGAGTTACCACTGTACTGGGCCGAGGCCATTTAGGGCTTTAAAGGTCAGCACCAACACTTTGACTTGTGCTCGGAAATGTACTGTGAACCAATGTAGGTATTTCAGGACCAGTGTTATATGGTTAGCCACAATCCATAGCTATCCTGTTTCTATCCTGTCATTTCTTACGAAATACAGGCAGCGACCGTATAAGCACATCTGATATGTGCAGAACCGCACATGCAAGCATCATGTGGAACCCAGACGTGACCTGAAAACATCACCAAAAAATGTCACAAAAGGGGTGGAATCGGGCAAGAGTGGGAGCGGAAAGGGGCCTTACAGGCACCCCGCCAATGTGTGCAGGGGTCCGGAAGGTAACCCCCATGCAAATCGCTTGCTGCCTGTACTGTATTCTGATACATTTCTCTCAAAAACAGCTTCCATCAGAATTGAGGAAAAGAACGACCTATCTGCGTTTTAAGCCGATAATACAGTACACGCCCTATATCACTCATTCCAAGTCCTAGGTATACGGGGGGGGGGGGGATGCGTTAAATAAATATATCCTGGAACCTACAGAAAAGAGCAGAGATATTCTAGATGCCCATATGCTACAGGACCTGCTGCAGTAGTAAGCAGGGTCTGGCGTTTATTTCTGCTTCCAAGTTTGATTTCCAGGAAGCCTACTTCCTTCTATTGAATGTGTTTAGGACATGGGTGTTAAAGAGATACCTGCTCGAAACCCATTAATGAAATTAGCACCAGAAACCCCAGGAGCTAATTCAATTACCAAGTGCTGTATGTTAAACCAAGGGCATCCTGAGAATACCTGTAAACGGAGGAGTCCTATTCCCCAAGAGTCCCCATCTGCTGAAGCACATCCTGCTTTCAGAAAATAATATCTGCTTGACTCCCCGTCACCGTTCAGAGCAAAGTCCCTTCCTTTCTACAAGCACATCAACAAAGCAAGATTCCACGATGATGTAGGGAAATTCCTACCTTGCAAAATGCACCCATTCCATCAAGGAAGACAGCCGGATAATTCAGAGGTTCTTTAAACCTTAGGGGACCTTTGGTTAGAATACTAACTCCCTAATGAATCCTCAGGGCGCTAATGAGTTGTGTCACTGAGTCGTCTTATACCTGCCTAAGAACCTCCAGCAGATTTGCCCCATTGTGTGCGCAGCTGCCTATTATTCCCAGGAAATTATCTCCATGATAAATGACACAGGTGGTGCTATAAGGCTATTTCGGACACCGACTCAGAAGCCACAACTGCAAGGTTTATCTGTGCTAGCCAAGTTTTACTTGAAGCTCCACAGGTATTTGAAACAACTAGAAAAGATACCTTTTTCCTTCATAAATTTTTTTTAAATTGTAGTCTACAGTCTCCCTGCTGTCCTTATCTTACTATTACAGTATTTTTATTACAAAACCTAATAACACAGAATCCAGATAATACCTACAGTGGAACTTCAGTTGTCGAATGTAATTATTATTGTTGTTGTTATTATTATTATTATTATTATTATTATTATTATTATTATGTACCCAAGGGTCATCTAGTCCAACCCCCTGCAATGCAGGAATTTCAATGAAAGCAACCAAGACAGATGACCACCCAACTTCTGCTTAAAAACCTCCAAGGGAGAAGAGTCCACCACCTCCAGAAGGAGCCTTTTCCCCTGTCGAACTGCTCTTTTGAGATTTCACAGGGCTCTCACAAGATTTTGCTGAAAGATGCTTCCGCTTCTTCTCAGTTCTCTGCTGTGATTGGGCAGGCGGAGAACACATGGGCAGCAGCATCCCTTTAGATTCTGCCGCCTGAGGCAGCTGCCTCAGTCCACCTCATAGGCGGCCCAGCCCTGGACAGCTCAAGCTAACCAGATCAGGAAATAAATCTCCTAAGTGTACTAAAATAATCAAACAAATGCAAGCGGTTAAAACAATGGGAGCAGACTGAACAATAATCAATTTACAAAACTGAAACTGCTCGGGATCAAAACGCTTCTCTCCATTTTAACTGACTCATCCACAGGCAATGAAAACGGAAGTGTCTGGGTGATTTTTAAAGGAGGGAGGGGTCCAAATTGGGGCACGGTGGTGGCAGCACCCACACTTTTCTCAGTGGTCACCGGTTAGCAGTTGCCATTCCACACCCGCACCCCAAAGCTCCTCCTCTATGGGATATTTGTGCTGTGCATCTGGGCAAAGAATGGTAGTTGTCTAGAGCAGGGGTTGGCAGCCTAAGGTCTGCGGGCCGGATCAGGCCCAATTGCCTTCAGGATCTGGCCTGTGGACTGTCTGTGGATTGGCGTGAGGATTCTATTCATTTGAGCTGCACCATTCCCCCCCTCCTGCGCCATTCCATTTCCCCTCCTCTCCCTCAAACACAGCATGGTGGCGTCTCCTCCCTCCCTCCTCCTGGCTTTTCTACGCCCTGCCTAGAGGAGGTAGGGGGCTGGGCTGAGCTGGCTGAGCGCCATTTTATTTTTATTTTTTTATCTTTTTTTTAAAAAAAAAATTATTAGGGTTTTCACAATATTACAAAATGAAAAAGAAAAAAAAGAAAAAATAGAAAATAAAAATAGTTAAAAACAATTCAATCTTTCCATCACTTATCTTTCATTTGCTTGTTTCCCGGACCTCCTCATACCTCCCTTTTTTGTATTCCAGTTAAATTTATTAGTTCAGCAAATCCTTTCCCTCTTTGTTTTATCCTGATCTTTAATCTTAATATATTATAGCATTAAATTTTTACCTGTTAAAAATCCATTTTTTCATATTCTTTTATACCATTACAGCTAAAAACCACTTAACTTCAATCCAACATCATTCTAACATTCATTAATTTTGCAGTATTTCTGTAAATAGTCTTTAAATTTCTTCCAATCTTCTTCCACCAACTCTTCTCCCTGGTCTCGGATTCTGCCAGTCATTTCCGCCAATTCCATGTAGTCCATCACCTTCATCTGCCATTCTTCCAGAGTGGGTAGGTCTTGTGTCTTCCAATACTTTGCAATAAGTATTCTTGCTGCTGTTGTGGCATACATAAAGAAAGTTCTATCCTTCTTTAACACCGATTGGCCGACTATGCCCAGGAGAAAGGCCTCTGGTTTCTTCAAGAAGGTATATTTAAATACCTTTTTCAATTCATTATAAATCATCTCCCAGAAAGCCTTAATCCTTGGGCACATCCACCAAAGGTGAAAGAATGTACCTTCAGTTTCTTTACATTTCCAACATTTATTATCGGGCAAGTGATAGATTTTTGCAAGCTTGACTGGTGTCATGTACCACCTGTATATCATTTTCATAATATTCTCTCTTAAGGCATTGCATGCCGTAAACTTCATACCTGTGGTCCATAACTGTTCCCAGTCAGCCATCATTATGTTATGTCCAACATCTTGTGCCCATTTAATCATAGCAGATTTCACCGTTTCATCCTGAGTATTCCATTTCAACAGCAAGTTATACATCTTTGACAAAATCTTAGTTTTGGGTTCTAACAGTTCTGTTTCTAATTTTGATTTTTCCACCTGGAAGCCAATTTTCTTGTCCAAATTATATGCCTCCATTATCTGATAATAATGAAGCCAGTCTCGCACTTTGTTTTTTAATTTCTCAAAACTCTGCAATTTCAGTCTATCTCCATCTTGTTCCAAAATTTCCCAATATTTCAGCCATTTGACCTCCATATTGAGCTTTTTCTGAGCTTTCGCTTCCATCGGTGACAGCCACCTTGGGGTTTTGTTTTCCAATAAGTCCTTATATCTTATCCAAACATTAAACAATGCTTTCCTGACAATATGGTTTTTAAATGCTTTATGCGCTTTGACCTTATCATACCACAGATATGCATGCCATCCAAATACGTTGTTAAAACCTTCTAAATCCAAAATGTCTGTGTTTTCAAGAAGCAGCCATTCTTTCAACCAGCAAAAGCTGCTGATTCATAGTAAAGTTTAAAGTCTGGCAGGGCAAATCCACCTCTTTCCTTTACATCTGTTAGTATTTTAAATTTTATTCTAGGCTTCTTGCCCTGCCAGACAAATCTAGAAATATCTCTCTGCCACTTCTTGAAACAGTCCATTTTGTCCACAATTTGCAATGTTTGAAACAAAAACAGCATTCTAGGCAATACATTCATTTTTATCACAGCAATACGGCCCAGCAGTGAAAGCTTCAAATTTGACCAAATTTCTAAATCTTTTTTCACTTCAGCCCAGCATTTTTCATAGTTGTCTTTAAATAAATTCCCATTTTTTGCTGTCATGTTAATCCCCAGGTATTTGACTTTCTTGACCACTGTTAAACCTGTCTCATTCTGAAACCTCTCTCTCTCAGTTGGTGTTAAGTTTTTCTCTAAAACCTTGGTTTTTGACTTATTCAGTTTAAACCCTGCAACCTGACCAAATTCTTGAATCAGTTCTAAAACCCTTTTGGTACTAGATTCTGGCTCCTGTAACGTCAATACCAAGTCATCTGCAAATGCTCTCAATTTGTACTGTTTGGCTCCGACTTGTATACCTTTAACCAACTGGTCCCTTCTTATCATATTCAGCAAAACCTCCAGGACCGATATAAAAAGTAATGGGGAGATTGGGCAACCTTGTCGTGTTCCTTTTTCTATCTTAAATTCTTCCGTCACCACATTATTTACAATTAATTTAGCCTTTTGTTCAGAATATATTGCACCTATACCGTTTTCAAAACCTTGGCCTACCCCCATACCCTGCAAGTTCTTCTTCATAAAACTCCAAGAAATGTTGTCAAAAGCTTTCTCCGCGTCCACAAATATTGAAACTGCCTTAGTATTTATATTCACTTGTAATTTTTCTAAAATGTTGATTATGCTTCTCACATTATCCGATAGATGTCTACCCGGGAGAAAGCCTGCTTGGTCTTTATGTCTCTCTTCCAGTAGCACTCTTTTTAGTCTTTTAGCCAAAATATCTGCAAAAATTTTGTAATCCACATTAAGCAATGATATGGGGCGGTAGTTCTTAAGCTGCGTCTTTTCAGTCTCTGTTTTCGGTACAAGTGTAATATACGCTTCTTTCCACGACTCTGGTGCCCTTTTCCCATCCATTATTTCATTACAGACTTCTTTCAAAGGTTGTACTAACCATTCTTTTAAAGATCTGTAGTATCTAGAAGTCAGTCCGTCCGGTCCTGGAGATTTACCTAGTTGCATATTCTGAATGGCACCTTCTATCTCCTGTTCAGTTATTTTATAGTTCAACATTAGTTTATTTTCTTGGGAGATTTTTTGTAATCTGGCTGAGCGCCATTTTAAGCAGCCCCTTTCCAGAGCCAGCCCTTTTGTGCCACTCAATTTCCCTCCACTGCTGCCGCCACCCTGCTGCTCCTGCGGACCAGAGAGCGGAGCGGATGAATTTGCTCTATCTACCCAAGAGAAGAAGCAGTTGTGGTGGTGGTGGTGGTGGCAGCCCCAGGGAAAGTAAGTGCAGCAGCTGGAGCTGGGGGGTGGGGAGGAAGACTACTTGCCCCCCCTTGCCTCTTCTTCCAGCTCCCTCCCTGGTGCCGCTTCTGTGGCCTGCCACAAGGTCTGAGGGACAGTGGACCAGCCTGTGGCTAAAAAGATTTGCCAAGCCCTGGTCTAGAGGGACATTGCTGTCATTGTTACAAAATGCAGGTAGCAGTGTGAGATGAAAGGATAGGTAGTCTGGGTCCCCCTTTTCACCATTCACCCCAAATTTATCTTTAATAATAATAATAATAATAATAATAATAATAATAATTGTACCATTTATACCCTGCCCATCCGGCCAGGTCTCCCCAGCCACCCTGCAGGGTCCACATTGCATCTAAAAACATTTTTAAAATTCAAGCAATAAAAACTTCCCGATACAGGGCTGCCTTCAGATGTCTTCTAAAAGTTGTGCAATTCTTTATCTCCTTGACATCTGAAAGCTCTTTCTGGAGACTGGTGTGCCTCCCTTTCCATTCTTTTTGCTCATGCACTGAGGAAAGGTAGTGGCCATCTTGGTTTTCTCTGACTCATCAAACAGTCCTTCGTGCCAGGCTTGTCGTTCCCTTCACCCACTCACTGTTTTGCTCTCCAGCCCCGTGTGAGGGGCGCTTGTTCCGAAAATGATCTGAGCTATTCCAGAGACTGCCCTGCACATGGACATAGCCCTAGCCTGTGACAGAACAAGGCATTTCGCATCCTTATAGAGGGCCACTATAATGCTGAGATATACCCTCGGGCAGAAAACACATTCAGAGCCCAAGCAGGGAAAGTTGAGTCAATTAGATGTTTTCTGTGCCACAGGGCTGCCAACAATCCCATCTTTTGTGCTAGCAGAAGAATCGGAGCCTATGTGCTTCGCTAACTCTTTCTTGTTGGAGCGGAAAGGTCATGAACAGGCATGTAATGGAAAAGCGTGTGGCAAACTTTCCCTGGGAAGGGGGGCGGGTGGAAGAAGAGGAGAAAATAGCCAACTGGGGGGGGGGGAGGCCTCCATTTCCTGGCTTTCGGAGGGGGTCATGGGTTGGGTGAACCTCTTCCAGGCTTGGGCATGGGAAATATCACAACCCAGGCGTAAAAGGCAGGGTCCTTTGGCCAGATAAGTATCGAGGCCAGAGCAAGGTTTTGGACAATGTTCAACCATGGAGCTGCCATAAACTGTTCTAAACAGCAGTACAGAGAGACAGGGGGAATGTGTCCCTGTTCATTCTCCTTGACCTCTCAGTGGCTTTTGATACCATCAACCATGGTATTGATGTAAAATTTGGGGTTTGGCTTTGGCTGCCCAACTCTCCATGGGGCTCTGAGTCCCCTAAGTCCATGGTTGGTCAGAGAAGAATGGATGGAGGCAGGATCCAGTGGAAAGTTGTTCTGTTGCAACAGAGTTCCATCCCCCTCCTTGCAAGGAGGGAGAGACCCTGAACAAAGGTGTGCAGGGACCTTTAAAGACTTTTGACATTGCCCAAGGCCCTTAGCCAAAAACCACCCCAAAATCATCATACATACAGCATAGGAGACGGGTCTACAACAGAAATCCTGTCTGCCAGGATACCTGATAATGGTCGCTAATTGCATTACCTGGGCAGCCTGGCCATTCTTTGTTTATGGTTAATACTTTAGTTCCTGAATCCAGGTCACAGGCTCACCCTATTCATACACAAAGATGCCCTTATGACAGGATTTGTAAGCGAAAAGACAATGGGAAGCCTTTCCCCATTTGCCTCCCTTATTTGAGGAATATTTGAGGTCACTGGGAGAGTCAAAATGGCTTCAGGTTTGCTCTTCCGTACTATTTCAGACACACAGTTTATGTATTTAGATATGTGTGCATTTGTGAATATTTATTCTATATCTGAGACCTTAAAATTCTCATAACAGTATTCTTCAGAAAACGCAGTCCATGTTGGGTGTGGGTGGCACCACTTTGCACTGCTTCCAGTCCTACTTGCAGGGAAGTGTCAAGAGAGTGAGGCTTGGGGAGAGCAGACAACCTCTCATCCATTCAAACACTAACAGCGTCTCAGTCTTAACTGGACTGAGCTTCAGTTTGTTGGCTCTCATCCAGTCCATTACACAAGCAAGACAACAGTGCAGCTCATCCATTGCCTCACCTGAAGGTGTAAAGGAGAAGTAGAGCTGCGTGTCGTCAGCATATTGCTGACAAAGTACTCCAAGCCTCCAGAAAACCCCACTCAGTGCTTTCATGTAGATGTTAAACAGCCTAGGGCAGAGCTTTCTGAAACTGTGTGTTGCGACATGTTAGTGTGTTGGCTGCAGTGCGTAAGTGTGTTGTGCAAACGCTTCCTGGAAAGCAGTCAGTTTAACCTCCAATTTGCTAGTAAAACTGAATTACTGCGTCATGAAATGATGCATGTCTAAAAAAGTGTGTCGCCAACAAGGAAAGTTTGGAAAGCTCTGGCACAGGAGATAAAATTAAACAGTGAAGGCTCCACGGGGCTGAATAGCACTCTCTAAGCATCACCCTCTGGAAACATCCCCCCAGGTAGGACCCCACTCGGTGATTTCATGTAGATGTTAAACAGCATAAAGGTAAAGGTAAAGGGATCCCTGACCATTAGGTCCAGTCATGACTGACTCTGGGGTTGCGGCGCTCATCTCGCTTTATTGGCCGAGGGAGCCAGCGTACAGCTTCTGGGTCATGTGGCCAGCATGACTAAGCCGCTTCTGGCAAACCAGAGCAGCGCACGGAAACACCGTTTACCTTCCCACTGGAGTGGTACCTATTTATCTGCTTGCACTTTGACGTGCTTTCGAACTGCAAGGTTGGCAGGAGCAGGGACCGAGCAACAGGAGTTCACCCCGTCGCGGGGATTTGAACTGCCGACTTTCTGATCAGCAAGTCCTAGGCTCTGTGGTTTAACCCACAGCACCACCCGCGTCACTGTTAAACAGAATAGGGGATAGAATTGAACCCACACTGAAAGGTCCACAGGGCTGAAAAACACTCCTCTGGGAAGAACCATCCAAGTAGGACCAGAATCACTGCAAAGCAGTGCCACCCACACCCAACTTGGATAACTGTTCCAGAAGGATACCATGGTCGGTGGTCTCAAAAGCCACTGAGAAGTTGAGGAGAATTAGCTGGGACCCATTTCCCCTGTCTTTCTCCCGACAGGGGTCATCATACAGGGTAACCAAAGCAGTTTCCTTACCAAAACCAGGCCTAAACCAGAATTGAAATAGATCACAAATCAGTTTCCTCCTAGAGGACTGTTGTGTGTCACATGCCTGTTTACTTCCAGCACTTGCTGGGAACTTCCGTTTGTATATAGCTTTTGTGCTGCTGCTGTTTTGCTGGAGACGAAGGGAAGCAGACATGTTTTCCTCTGTTCCTGAACTATGCTGAATAAATGTTGTACATTATGCTTACACATCTCTCTGTCCGCCTCTTCTGCTGTGAGAAGATTTACACACTCTGCTGATAGGGCGTGCACGGGTCTCTAAACGTATCTGAGGCTCGTGTTGCTGATTGATGCTGTTCCAAGGGAGACCGGCCGGTGGCTGGAGCCAGCTGGGAGCCTGCCTGATGCCCCATCTTCCCGCCAGTATCCCAACATTAGGAACCGCCATTTGGAATGACCACGTATCACTTCTGGCAGGCAGGCCGGAAGTATTTCGATTGCCCCATGCCCAAGCCAAACCTCTTTCATCTGTATTCAATAAAGTTGTGGCCTGTTTTGACCCCCCAAACCAGCTTCATTGGTCTCTTATTTGCATGGGTTGGGGTAGGGGAACCCGATGCCTGCAGCTCATTCACCTACTGGAGAACCATTGTTTGCTGCTATATCTGAACGGGGCCAGTGATTCCAGATCATTTTTATACTCTTCTCCTAATAGAAAATAATGGAGAGATATTTCTGTTGAGTGCCCATTCTTCCAGTTTCTGCAGGGAGCAATAAGTAAGGAAAGGTCAGTTGCTGCAATCAATATGCAAGTGGCTGTGAGTTGGACCGTGACTGAATGAAGACACACAGGTAAGGAAGTGGCCAGCATTAGAGACGTCTGCGGAGATGGTTATTGGCAGAAATGACACTGCCATCATATCACCCTCTGTTACGCAAAGGAAAGGAAGCTGGCCTCTCTTGCTGCAGAAGCAGCACTCAGTCATCCTGCCTGGGCTCCAAGAACAACTCAGAATGTCACCGAGAAAGGTCACCAAAGAAAGACAGCGAAACCTCATGTGAACTCTGGTGTCTCTTATGCAGGCTCCGGTTGGATTTGCTACAGGTGCTTTCAGCAAGGCACATATCTAAGAGACTCCTGTTTTATACAAACTCAGCCAACGTTCACAAAATGCTAGCTGAAGTATGATGACCTTCCACAACAGGAAACAAGGCAGAGCAAAGAATTTGAACCAACTTGGAGCGCTCATCCACATTTGCCTTCCCTCTGCATTTCTAGGCAGGTTCATGTCCAAGCAAGCTTCTTTCTTTCTTTCTTTCTTTCTTTCTTTCTTTCTTTCTTTCTTTCGCCTTGGCACTTTTCTTGGAGAAACCCCCTCTATAGCATTGAATTGGACCAAACAGCAATCCACAGGCTTTGGGAGGATTGCATAAACCTGCCTGACCAGAGATGATAGTGGGACAACAACAACAACTACAACAGAGTTGTACCCACCGAAGCCACAATGGCTGTACTGTGCCGCACAGCTTCGAACACTACGGTCTGATTTCAGCCAGTGTGTCCACAGCTCACCAGCTTCTGTGCATGCGCCCTTCACTGTGGCCTCATGGATGGGTTTAACAATTTGCTGAACTACATTGCCCAGCTAAACTAACAAGAGCAACAAAAGGAGGAGGAACAAATGCAGCAGTATTCTGTAATTAGAAGTGAACGAAGAAATGAATGGATAATCGGGAAGAAGAGAAGTGGCAGAAAAGAGCTAAATCAGCCATGCACCCGGTTGTCGTTCAGAAAGAAAGCTAAATGCCAAGCACAGCAGAGAACAAGTACTAAGAAAGAGCTGGATTTAAGAGCTATTTCAATCAGCATTTTGGACCTTTGCACCCACTCATCCCCTTAGTTGCTTTCTAAGCAAAGATTTATTAACTACAGTTTCCTTTGTGGACAGTTTTCCTGGATGATAAAATCATGGATGGTGGTAGGAGAGTTAATCTAGATTCAGAAATAGCTTCATTTATTTAACAGTTTGTTACTGGAAGGAATTTACACAATTGTCTCTGTGTTAATTAATTTTTGCATGACAGTCATATTGATTTATCTGGCCATTTGAATCTGGATTTAACTCTTTTGCTGCTGCTGGAGATGCATCGTTTACAAAGAGAACATCAAGCTGCAGGCAAAATAGCCGTCTTGAATTTTTTTGATTAAAATATAGTTGTATAATTGGGGAGATAATAATATTTTCTTTTTATCATTTACCGATCCCTGTGTGGCTGCTATTAGAGTCATAGCAATTGGGGGATACATGAGATCATTAATCATTATCTCTGGAATGGTTTGAAGCCAACATTTCCAGGGATTGATGGATTGAAATGTCTGCCATCTTAGCCCCTTCCTTCCTTCCTTCCTTCCTCCCTCCCTTCCTTCCTTCCAAGCTGAACTTGCCAGCATCTTTCCCCATGGTATCAGGTGGGTCTTTCATAGGCAAACATTCAACAATGGAGGGGCCACTACTGAAAAGACCCCTTCTCTCATGATTTGTACCCCACTTGGCAGGGGCACTCAAAGAAGATTGTCAGATGATAGTCTCATGGGTCAGGGAGGTACAGGAGAGAAAATGTGTTCGATCAGATACATCAGAGGGCCCAAGTTGTAAAGGGTATTAAAGGTCAGAACCAGCACTTTGAACTGGGCACAGAAATGGACTGGGAGCCAGCTAAGATAACAAACAGCTGAAAAACTGATAGAAGATATTCCACGCCACAGGGTTGTATGAGCCTTGAGCGACAAAGATCAATGAGCACCTCCAAACTACGAACCTGGTCTTCTATGACAACCTCCTCCAGAACATGCCTTGCCTGAGCAGATGGATCCCCTCTGTTCTGTGTCCCTCACATGCAGCCTGCTTCCAGTGATCCAGTTACAAAGACTTCATTCAGCATCTCTGCAGTCTCCTTTCCTCCTTTAGCACACCTGTAAAGAACCTCACTCCTGCCAACCTAGCAGTTCGAAAGCATGTCAAAGTGCAAGTAGATGAATAGGTACCGCTCCGGCGGGAAGGTAAACGGTGTTTCCGTGCGCTGCTCTGGTTCCCAGAAGCGGCTTAGTCATGCTGGCCACATGACCTGGAAGCTGTCTGTGGACAAATACCGGCTCCCTCGGCCCATAGAGCGAAATGAAAGCCACAACCCCAGAGTCAGCCATGACTGGACCTAATGGTCAGGGGTCCCTTTACTTTAAAGAACCTCAGATGCTCCATTTCCTCAGGAGCACATCTGATCTATGTTCCTTCTCATCTCTTGGTTAAGCCATTTAGTTTGGTTTTGTCCCTGCGGTGTTTTTAAACATGACTGGGCTCTCGGACAATAAACAAGGCATCTCTGTCAGTCTCAACAGGGTATATCCAATTCCACTCCATCTTCAGCAGTTAAAAACAAAACCAAAAAACCCCCACACCTCACAGAAACACAAATAAATATATACCAGTTAAACCAGGGGTCAGCAAACTTTTTCAGCAGGGGGCCAGTCCACTGTCCCTCAGACCTTATGGGGGGCCAGACTATATTTTGAAAAGAAAAAAAATGAATGAATTCCTATGCCCCATAAATAACCCAGAGATGCATTTTGAATAAAAGGACACATTCCACTCATGTAAAAACATGCTGATTCACGGGCCGGATTTAGAAGGCAATTGGGCTGGATCCGGCCCCCGGGCCTTAGTTTGCCTATCCATGAGTTAAACCAATCTTTAAACCTGCAGATGGCGAAGTGAGCACAACTTAAAATTATGGGGAAAGGTTATCTGATAAAAGTCAGTCTTGAAAAGACACGGTTTTATTGACAAAGGGGGATTTGTGCTCTAGATCTAAATGTCAGGTTAACTCTCTGTTATTCGTTTAGGCTATGTAGTGTTTTTTAGGCTTTGCCCAAACAGCAGCTTAAAGAACAGCAACGTGCTCCATAAACACAGGGTGAGAATCTGGTCGTGGCAGGACAACATTACGGGCTGGGATGGTCTCACACTTAGCAACTGTGTGGACCAGCATAAGTGGTCTCACACTTAGCAACTGTGTGGACCAGTTCAAGCTGAGCACTCTATGACTTTTCATCTACACAGATCCCCAGTGCTATGGAGCTTAGCCACACTGGAGCATACTGTGTTTCTGCAGCTGTTGGCGTTCCCATTTAAATTGCATTTGTCTACATGCCATTATGTATGGAAGTGAAAGCTGGACTATAAAGAAGGCTGATTGCTGAAGAATTGATGCTTTTGAATTATGGTGCTGGAGGAGACTCTTGAGAGTCCCATGGACTGCAAGAAGATCAAACCTCTCCATTCTGAAGGAAATCAGCCCTGAGTGCTCACTGGAAGGACAGAGCCTGAAGCTGAGGCTCCAATACTTTGGCCACCTCATGAGAAGAGAAGACTCCCTGGAAAAGACCCTGATGTTGGGAAAGATGGAGGGCACAAGGAGAAGGGGCCAACAGAGGACGGATGGTTGGATAGTGTTCTCGAAGCTACCAGCATGAGTTTGACCAAACTGCGGGAGGCAGTGGAAGACAGAAGTTCCTGGCGTGCTCTGGTCCATGGGGTCACGAAGAGTCGGACACGACTATACAACTAAACAACAACAACGCATGCCATTACCCTCAAACAGCACCAGTCTTCATGCTTTCCCCCGTAAATTTGGGTTGAAGCTCACTTTGCCACCTTGGACCCATCAGTATGGGTCTTAGACTACTGCAATGCGCTCTACGTGGGGCTACCTTTGAAGGTGACCCGGAAGCTGCAACTAATCCAGAATGCGGCAGCTAGACTGGTGACTGGGAGCGGCCGCCGAGACCACATAACACCGGTCCTGGAAGACCTACATTGGCTGCCAGTACATTTCTGAGCACAATTCAAAGTGTTGGTGCTGACCTTTAAAGCCCTAAACGGCCTCAGCCCAGTATACCTAAAGAAGCATCTCCACCCCATCGTTCTGCCCGGGCACTGAGGTCCAGCTCCAAGGGCCTTCTGGCGGTTCCCTCACCGCGAGAAGCGAAGTTACAGGGAACCAGGCAGAGGGCCTTCTCGGTTGTGGCGCCCTCCCTGTGGAACGCCCTCCCACCAGGTGTCAAAGAAATAAACAACTATCTAACTTTTAGAAGACATCTGAAGGCAGACCTGTTTGTTGTTGTTTAGTCGTTTTAGGGGGTTCCCCCTAAAAATAATGTCAAAAATTAGGGTGCGTCTTATACACAGATAGTGTCTTTCCCCCATTTTCTTAAATCTGAGTCCTCCTAAATAGTTCTCTTGTACATGGGGGCATCTTATAGACGGGAAAATGCGGTATTTCAGTTTTGGGAAAAGTTGACACTTTTCCGTTTACGTTTTGAGAGGTACTTTTTTGAAAACCTAATTTTCCATTCTTGTTGATGACTTACCCTAAAGCAAAATTTGTACAGATCAGATGGCCAAACTTGGAACTTTCATATCCTATTTCCCACCTGCTATTACTAAATCCAACAAACAGTTGGTACAAAATCAAATTAGGAGGATTAGATTTTTTTTGCAAACAAATTCAAACTGGGAACATTTGATTGAAATCCCCCCCTCCCATGACAATATTGCATAAGTGGTGGGAATGTAAGAAAATCAGAAACTTTTGGGATAGTATCTATGAAGAATTTTTTTTAAAAAAGTTTAAACAAACATTTGTTAAAAAGCCAGAAGCATTTCTCTTGGGTTTACTAGCACCAGATATCCCAAGCAATAAAAGAAGGATATTTTTATATGCCACAACAGTGGCAAGAATACTTATAGGAATGTATTAGACAAAATGTAAAGAAATATACAATAATAAGAGTACATTCAATTGTAAAAAATGAATATACAACGGGACAGACAGGAAGTCCAACGTGTTGGTACAGACATGACTTTGGAATAGATTTTTTTGTCCTTGTTTTTTTTTTCTTGTTATCTTTAGGTATATTAACTTTATATATAAATTTTGTATACATGTTGAAAATTATATAATAATAAGCATTGCAATGTAATATTATAATCTTTACTGATGTAACATAAGAACGTAAATAAATAAATAAATAAATAAAATAAAATAAAAAAGAATACTTATTGGCAGAAAATGGAAGGGAGAGGAGATTCCAACAAAGGAAGAGTGGCAGATAAAATTATTTGAATACATTGAGCTTGCTAAAATGACATAATTAATTAGGAATCAAACAAACCAAAAGTTCAGTAAGGAATGGGAGTGTTATAAAATCTACTTTAAAAAAATTGTTCGCAAGTAAAACCTTTATTATGCTTTGACTGATTTTTGCAAAATACAAAACAGTTACTATAATTAAATCATATAGTACCAAGAAATAAGAAACATATAAGAAGGCTGTTAATTACAGAAAAGTATGACTCAGATTGAGGTGGACGGAAGTCATCTGAAAAGAATGGAACATTAATGATTGATAAGTTAGAATATCAATTATTGGTAATTGGCGGAGGAAAAAATATTTAGTTAATACGTGTTTTATGTTTTTGCTTATCATTATTTGTGGTTCGAATATTGGGCTGTTTTTTTTCTCAGGGATGTATGTAAGAAGCAAAATTCAATAAAAAGAAAGAGAAAGAAATTCCCCCATGAATTAATTCTGACTGCTTTCATAAGCAGCTACCTTTTCCCTGAGTCATCTTGCAAACGCATATCTCTCTGCCAAAAGCTTCAGCACAAAGGGGAAGTAATCATAACCTTTCATAAACTCAAAGACTGCGAGAAGAACTTACAGAAACAAGGAAACCGATCAACCCTCGTGGAGTGGCTCATCCAGCTGTATTGCTGCTGTGTCTCCATCCTCAATCTACTCCTTCTTTAGAGTTGTGTTGGACCAGAACAACTCTGACAGACAACGCTGACGGAAGGGCAAAGAGTATGATGGCATGTTTACACAACCTAGCAGTCTCATCCAAGTTACAAATTTATCTTTCAGACCTTGACCTGCCTGGAATAGTTTGTGGATATACCTGCGTTGGGGTCTTTCTTTCTCTCTCCCTATCTCGACGCTAACACAAGAAAGACAGCGTCTGACAAACGCAGTGTCTCCTATGTAAAGTATATTATTATTTGGGCAAACAGTTAATTAGAATTTCTGGACTCACCTAGGTAAAGGTAAAGGGACGCCTGACTGTTAGGTCTAGTCGCGGACGACTCTGGGGTTGTGGCTCTCATCTACCTTTATTGGCCGACGGAGCCGGCGTACACCTTCCGGGTCATGTGGCCAGCATGACTAAGCCACTTCTGGCGAACCAAAGCAGGGCACGGAATCGCCATTTACCTTCCCGCCAGAGCGGTACCTATTTATCTACTTGCACTGGTGTGCTTTCGAACTGCTAGGTTGGCAGGAGCAGGGACTGAGGAACGGGAGCTCACCCCGTCGTGGGGATTCGAACCGCCGACCTTCTGATTGGCAAGCCCTAGGCTCTGTGGTTTAACCCACAGTGCCACCCACGTCCCATGACTTACCTATACAGCTGCAAATGTAATGTTTTAAGTGCATCATACAAATGTGACACTAGATGGCGCTGGTGAGCTACTGGTAAATTCCATATATATTTTTAAACGGTTTTTTTAAAAAAACAACAAAAAACACACATTTTTATACATGTGGAGATTCAGCCTCTATGATATCCCCTAAAATTGTGTTTCATTTCCTGGGTTGGGTTTAAAAAATAAATAAAATTATTGTTACAGTGACTTTTTATTTATTTATTTTTACTATTTTAAGTTAAAATACTAAAACAGATTAAAATTACTTCAAGTTTCCAAGCACCCAAGTAGGCCTGTCTAAATACAGGCCTCGGTCCTGTATACCTGAAGGAGCGTCTCCACCCCCATCATTCTGCCCGGACACTGAGGTCCAGCGCCGAAGGCCTTCTGGCGATTCCCTCATTGAGAGAAGTGAGGTTACAGGGAACCAGACAGAGGGCCTTCTCGGTAGTGGCGCCCGCCCTGTGGAGCGTCCTCCCACCAGATGTCAAGGAGATAAGCAGCTATCCTATCTTTAAAAGACATCTGAAGGCAGGCCTGTTTAGGGAAGTTTTTAATATTTAATGCTGTATTGTTTTTAACACTTGATTGGAACCGCCCAGAGTAGCTGGGGAAACTCAGCCAGATGGGCGGGGTATAAATAATAAATTATTATTATTATTATTATTATTATTATTATTATTATTATTATGTTTTTAGCAGGCACCGAAAGAGTACAGTGCTTGATCTCAATCGGCAGTGAGTTCCACACTAAACAAGAGGCGACTGAGAGGAGCAGAGACTGAGATCAGTGGGGGGGGGAGCACAGGAGACGGCAATTCCCTTTCACCCTAAGTGGTAAGACGGGGCAGGCCGCCTCTGCTTCTACCTCTGAAATAAATAGCCACTGGATTTTTCAGAGAGCCACTAGATTCTTCAGAGAGCCAATAAAACGATCTCTGGAAAAACCAAGTCTAATATCTTGTGCAAAAGCTGTTGGAGAAGCTTTGGCTGCTGATGTCCAAACTCCACTATTTGCTTCATTTCCTTATGTAACAAAACAAAAACAAACCTGACACAACCTTGTTCTGGAGGAGATGGCAACGCTGGTTGGAGCTTATATATTAGTCTGTGAATGAATGGGCTATATACACTGAGTATCATTTGGAGAGCAGAAACCTGCCTGGTTCAGAACTTTATTATGAAACCAGAGAGACCCCCAGCCATAATAACAAGCTCCCTCCGTTCTTAGTAATCATCATTTCCTAGCCAAGCCCGCGGTGGTTTTGCTTCGTCCTTGCCGTCTCTCTCTAATAGGTTCTCTTCTACGGAGCGGCAATTGGAGCTGCACTGTTAAAAGCATTCATATGTCAAGTAGCTCTGGTTTCAGAGGAAAAAACCCCTGATGTTTTCATCTGAGATGGGAGAGTTTGAAAGCAGCACATTCCAAAAGGTCAATTCTGCAGGACTGAGGGTGGAGGAGCAGGGAGGAAATGGGTTGCTATGGGAACCAAAGGACTTGAACATCCAGTAACTTCTCACCAAAACGCAAATCCCGCTCTGGGAAAACGCAGCAAAGAGCTGGTGGAAATGGGGGGCAGTGGTTTTGTTTCTCAGAAGAGACCACTGCTATTCCACCCATTGTTTGGAAATACTATAGGATGACTAGGCCCTCCTGGAGATGGTGGCTGTGCATTTAAATGCTCCAATGGGAACCAACCAAGGTTGCAGGAACAAGACGCTCTTCCCGCAGGTAATGTGGCCAGCAAGATGCATGAATCTTTTAACAAGTGGAATCTGTAGCATGGCTACTCTTGGGCAATTTGTTTTCCATATATATCTCCAGCTGACCGTTTCTTCAGGCTTCTTTCTTTCCTTGTTGTAAGAACAGAAGAAGGATCTTGCTGGAAAAGGCTAAAGATCCATCTGGCCCAGGAACCTGTTCCCTGCGACTGTGGCAAACCAGTTTTCTTTTTTATTCCTCTTCCTTTTTCACTCCCTCGCAATGGATTTGCTGTTTCACCGCTGTGGCACACAGGGTTAACGTTTCCATAAAGCTACTGTTATAGGAATTCTAAGGTCTCAAATGTAGAATCAATCTTGATAATTGCACAAGCTAAACACACATAAAGGTAAAGGTAAAGGGACCCCTGACCATTAGATCCAGTCGTGACCGACTCTGGGGTTGCGGCACTCATCTCGCTTTATTGGCCGAGGGAGCCAGCGTACAGCTTCCGGGTCATGTGGCCAGCATGACTAAGCCGCTTCTGGTGAACCAGAGCAGCACACGGAAACACCGTTTACCTTCCCGCCGAAGCGGTACCTATTTATCTACTTGCACTTTGACGTGCTTTTGAACTGCTAGGTTGGCAGGAGCTGGGACCGAGCAACAGGAGCTCACCCCGTCGTGGGGATTCGAACAGCCGACCTTCTGAATGGCAAGTCCTAGGCTCTGTGGTTTAACCCACAGCGCCACCCGAAAGTATATAAACCACATGTCTGAAATACAGGCATACCTTGGGTTACAGGCGCTTCAGGTTGCATTTTTTTGGGTTACGGACACACTGATACCCAGAAGTACCGGAACGGGTTAGTTCCGGGTTTCGGCGGTCGCGCATGCACAGAAGCGCTAAATCGTGTGTTGCGCATGCGCAGAAGGGCCAAATTGCAACCCGCACATGCGCAGACACAGCGCTGCGGGTTGCGAATGCTGCGGGTTGCGAATGTGCCTGCTGCACGGATCACGTTTGCAACCTGAGCATCCACTGTAGTACAGGAGAGCAACCCAAAAGCCATCTTGGCTCTCCTAAAGACTCTCAATATTTCCTCTGTCTCCTTAATCTCCCTTGCCTGACAACACCTAGTCAGGGGAAGTTCCTGAAGGGATTCCTCTCCTATATCTTTGAACTTCCTTGGTATTGTCATTGTTTGCTCAGATGCTCTGCATTGAGGGATGTCTGACAGGCATCCCAATTGTCTTATCAAAAGCTAGTGTTCTGTGTATACTGTGTCTGGATCTTTGTGAAACTTGCTAAATCCTCAGGAATATCACACCTCGGCCTGCCTGAGCCACAGCAACCCCACCTTATAGGTGATGTAATTTCTGACTGTTTGTAGAAGGGATGTCCTCCTCCACGCCAAAATGCAAACCCTTAAAAGTGATGTTTCTTCTTGGTTCTGGGTCTCTCTTGCCTCCTTGCTAGGAGGGAACTCTGATGCAACAGAAAAATAAAGATCTGCCTTGCTTTCACTGCATCCTGCCTCCATCCATTCATCTCTGACCAATCATGGACTTAGTCCCTTGGGGAGTTGGGCAGCAAAAGACAACCACCCCTATTTTTCTAGATCACAACACACAATGATCTCAAGATCCTTCCCGTTGCATCACCACCAGTTCAGACTCTTGTGTGTGTACATTTATTCATCCAGATTGGAAAGGGACCCCAGCTTTCTTTTTCACCTTCCTGATGAATTTTGCATAATTTACGAACTTGGCCATCTCAGACAATGTTTATTGAAGGCGCATTGTAAAGGGGCACACTAGGAAAAAGCAATAATTGGTAGCCAAAGGTTCTGGGGTTCCCTTTTAATATACTGTTAACTCCCAGTTCAGGGGCGCTCAGGTGGAGGCAGCACACCAGTTTCTAGTACCCAGACTTCCTAATCCCAGCTCATGTCCCACGAGGAAAAACAACAGGCAGCTCCCTATTTGCGTGTTCAGACCCAGAAACCTCCCCCCTAAATAAATTCACACACAAATTTTGGTTTTGGTTTTTGGCAAAATATAGGTCACAACTTAACTGATTACAGAAAGTGACTGGTTGCATAGGCTCTGGTTCGACTAGCTCCCTGCCATGCAGGTAGCACTGACCCAGGGTTCCAGCATAGGTCAGCCAAGGGTGAACACCTGGATAAGCAGAAAGCCGGGAATGGGCTATCTCTGCCACCCCAAATGTCCCCCTGGACTCAGGCACGGGCGCAACCCCCTCACAGGAGTTGACCAAACCATCGAGTCCCTGGATTCCTTTAACGGAATACCCTTCACATAGGGATGGCGAGAGCGTTCTCCCATCCCTATCACCTGAACCAGAGCCTATCCGCAACCTTACAAGTTGTGACAATTTGCTACGCGGCAGACAAAACCCAAGTGGCAACAGCCAATCAGCCAAGTGGGGGAAATTCCTGCCGTGCCCCTGTCCCAAGGACACATGATGGCATAGCAAGGTCAAGCGCAAAGCCCTAAAAGTAGGGAGAGGTGGGCAGATGTTCTGAATGCACATGCCGAAAGAGGAAGCTCTGGGTCACATGCATGGGCATAAATAGGTCCCTCGAACCATTTGGACTGCATCCCATTGGCCAGATTGCACCCAGCTACGACG